GTATAGACCAAGAGGGGGTTGATAAGCTTTCTTGTCATTGGGTTTGTGATTGTTCACCCGACAGTGCCTCTACCGGGAACGCTTCCCCGCGTCTCATGCTGACTCGAACCGTTGCACGCTCTCACCATTTTATGCCACACAACAACAAGTGCCGTTTGTTGTTGACGTGGGCTTGAGAAGGCAGATAGACGGCTGTGGCTACCGTATCGAGACCGCATACCATGTGCTGTCATCTGCTTGTCTTGAAGCCAGTTCGAGCAACGACCCCATACGTCTGGATTTACACTACAGGCGTCATGTCAGCTCGCTCGCTAGCTTTCGAGCGGGATGTACCGCCATCCATGCTCTCTGTTCGTATACTACATGTGTATGTAGGTACATAGTATGGGTGTGCAGTTACTTGCGAGACATGCATCTCAGAAACATCCGCAAGCTCGAACCAACGACTTTCGCATGCCCCTTTTCCCTTTCATACCCACTTTTGGTCTACATGCTCTTCTACCATGGCCATCGAGAACTTCTTTAGCCTTGGTTTCTTTCATCAACATGTCTCTAGCCTCGGGTTCTGGATTCCCAAAAGCCCTGGAGACACCCCGTGGTGCTCATCTGCCGTGTGGGTGCCGTTGATGGTCGACGCTACTGTGTGACGGGCAAGCATGAGCGACGGCCGGGGGGATTCGACGGGACTAAGAGGCGCAGGGGGGGGAGATCCCACACCAGGACCCTGGCTGGCCAATATTAAAGGCCGATCAACCGCTGAGCTTGGTACCTATCAAGCCTTTTTCGCATCGCCATGACCATCCGACTTTTTGCCCGGCCACTGACAGTCATCAGAGCATCTTGACGTTATTGTGCGCCATTGGCTCTTGACTGGCCTGTCTTCGAGGCGTTGGCGTTCCTGTTGACTGCAACCTTCGATCACCATCTCCACACAAGAAAAAGGGGGAACTATCGAGGTCTTCCAATCAAGCCTATACCTTGAGCCCGCCATCACGGTTCAGAGAGTCACGGGTGGATTCTGCCGAACGATAGCGGCTGGCGACTTGCTGTGACCTAGGCGGACGAATTCTGCAGCCTGCCAATTCGTCTTACTGCATGGATTAAACGTTCATTCATCACAATTACCTGAATACTCTCCGTATCATCGCCTTCGGGACCTCGAGACGACTCTGACAACTCTTTCCGACACCTTTCCGAGTTCCGAATACCTTACCACTCACTGCTGGTACCGGTCCAGGTCCATCATATATCCCCGAGCCTCCCCTCCCGAGCGCTGAATCGTTGCTCGATTTTGTCTTCTGGTTTTTGCCGTTATCATTATCTGGTCCTCTCTCGATTCTTCCCCGATGGCCACCTCACCATCACCTAACGCTTCTAATCTTTAATTTGGGGGATCTGGTATGCCCTTGTTGGATCAGACCAAGTAAGGTGTGCTTCGTCATCCGACCAACGTTTCCCGTTACCGCGACTATAAAGCCGCCCTATCCGGACACTCTCTTTCATCACTCGCCAACATGGATTCATCAATGACATCGGCGTTCAGACGCGCTGCCGAAAGCAGTACACAAGCAGTCGGCGGTCTAGCAAAACGAATCGCCATCCCGCTCAAGCCTAACAGTCCCCCTGGTCTAGTCCAAGCATTGACAGTAGACCCGTGGTCCAAGGCCGGCAAATATGGACTGGGATGGACGTACTTTTCGCTTATCATCGTCGGTCTCGTGTTGTTCATGAGGATATGGCACTTCTGGCAGGACAAGATTCGACAGGCGATATACAAGCAGGAGATGGAGGAACACGTTCGACAGCTTTACAGCCTGGAACCAGAGTGGGATAGGTCAGCAGCATTAGCCACAGGAATGACAGCAGCAGAATCGAGACGACATTTCTTTCCCGATGAACCGCCTCTCGAAGAAAAAGACTTCAAGCCGAAAGCTCACTTCTCGTCCATCGGCTTTGTCAACGACACGTTGGCCCTGTTCCGATGGGTATTTTACCGGCCGATTCCCGATATTGTGTGGAAGAAACATCGGTTCACCTTCTCATCCCTCGCCGTCTTGTTCTGCGTCTTTGTTTCCATTGCCTTCGTAACGATCTACTGCTTTCTCCAGCAGCCGCTTTACTGGCAGAGCATTCGGTTCGGTTCTCCCCCGGTCGCTATCCGTGCCGGCATGATTGCGGTTGCTATGACCCCCTGGATCGTTGCCACGAGCACAAAAGCGAACCTTCTTACCCTCATCACCGGCATCGGCCCCGAGCGCCTCAATGTCTTTCACCGATGGCTTGGATACTTGTGCCTGTTTCTTTCGTTAGTTCACATGGTCCCGTTCTATGTGCAGCCAGTGTGGGAAGATGGAGGTATGGAGGTCTTCGAAAAGCTGTTCCCCCCCGGCAGCGGAATCATCTATGGTTCCGGGATTGCTTGCTTGGTACCTTTATGTTGGCTCTGTGTTGGCTCACTGCCTTTCATCCGACGAATGGCCTATGAGGTGTTTGTCATACTTCACATACCGGTTGGCGTGATCTACGTCGGCTTGCTCTTCTGGCACACCAAGAACTTCTTACTATCATGGGGTTATCTGTTCGCTTCCGTTGGCATCTTCGTCGTTTGCAACATTATCCGACTTTTCAACTTGAACTGGGCCAAACCTTGGCGAATGGCCTGGTTGATTGGCGACGAGGCGGCTATCAATATCATGACCGAGAATGCCATCAAAGTGACTATTCCAACTCAGATGCGTTGGAAACCAGGGCAATACGTTTATCTACGTATGCCCGGTATCTCTCTCTTTGAGAACCACCCCTTCACCATCTCATCATTGTGTAGCCAAGACTTTCCCTCTGAGTACGGCGAGAACTACAGGGATTGCGTGTTGGTCTTTCGGCCGTACGGCGGCTTCACAAAGAGAGTCCTCGAAACCGCCATAGAAAAGGGACCCTTCCACACCTACCGTGCTTTTCTTGATGGGCCATACGGAGGCATGCGTCGGGATCTGGCCGCTTTCGATACATGCATTTTGATTGCGGGCGGTAGTGGCATCACTTCTCTGATGTCACAGCTACTTGACCTCATCAAGAGGATGCGTGATGGAAAAGCCATTACCAAGAAGATTGTGGTTGTCTGGTCACTGAAGCGTCTCGAGGCCATGGATTGGTTCCGCGAAGAACTCCGTATCTGCAGAGAGGCAGCGCCTCCTGAGAGCGTGACCTGCAAGTTCTTCGTCACATCCGCACAACGCCAGCAACTCAATGCTGGAATACCTCACGGCCGCGCGCCGAGACCATTGAGCAACCTTTTCCACGATAAGCTGGATGGGTTTGTCTCAAACATCGCTAACAAGCGGAACAGCGCGCTGATCATGGCGGAGGCGCAGGGCGATCCGGAAAGAGAGCGTGAGCTACGCGCTGAAGATGAGGACCGGATTACCGCCTTGCCGCAACAAAAATATCTACAACCTCATCATTTCCCACCTCCGCCTCCGGGGCCGCCACCTAACCATCGATATTCCGTTGCTGAGGATACACTCCGCAAGCTCGAAGGGCGCGATGTCAAAGACCCGTCGCTGATGAACCCAGTCGACAGTAAGGACGGCGTCAAGAAGGATGGCGAATTCCATTTTCCAGCCATCGCTCCACGGCCTGACAAGGCTCCGCACTTCAATTACGCACCACCAGCAGCAAAACAGCGATACAGTCAGTGGCTTGCCCAAACAGGTGGTGATCCTGAATCACAGGGCCGACCCAGCTACGTGACCATGAGAGAATCTGAGGACCCGGACCACCAACAACAAGCAGACCGACAGCAAGAGCAACACGAAGAAGGAGTCGAGTACAACAACAACAACGACAACCCTTATTCTGGCCAAGATGCCTCACAATTACCTTACCCAATACCACCTCCTCCTCCTGGACCTCCGCCTGGACACAACCCCGCTGTTGCCGCCGCTGTCACTGCCGAATCTGCTCCTGCTCCCCAAGCAACCCAACCGGTTCGGCCCCCTGAACTAGCCCACCTCCGCACCGATAACCTCCCAGCAGCCCAGCGGCCCGCTACCCGTGCAACCTCCACCTTCGGGCCCCCCTCCGGCTTTGACTTTGGCTTTCCTAACACGCCGACCGAGTTTCAGAAATCGCTCATGCGCTTCGCCTTTCCCGTACCGCACCAGATTGACGGCGGCTGGAGCGTCGAGTACGGCCGCCCGGACCTGGGGTACATGCTTAAGGAGTGGGCTACGGGTGGGCCCGATGGCAGAGGCGTTCTCGGACGCAGAACGGCCGTCTTCGTGTGTGGGCCGGCGAGTATGCGGGTTGGTGTGGCGAACACGGTGGCTAGGCTGCAGGCGGAGATTTGGGGGGATGATATGTTGGAGGAGATCTTTTTGCATACGGAGAATTATGCTCTGTGAGGGAGTGGCCTTGGGAAGAAGAAAGGCGGCGTGTCCTCTTGCTCTTTTTGTTTTGTTTTCAGAGATACCTACGTTTTTTTTCTACTTGTTTGGGTGTGTACGATGTGTCAGCTACCCTTTGTGTTTTCTTTATCACTTCTGAATACCTCGCAAGTCAAAGAAGGTGATTCGATCGGAAAGCAAATAGGGCAGTCATCAACTGGAAGGAGATTTTGTATGAGAGTGCGGAACTGAATGAGAGATGATCTTTGCGGTTATCGATGATCATGCTATGCTGATAGTGAGGAGGGCGAATGACGACGAGATACCTGTCACTAGTACGATAGTCATCGTTCTGTATATGGGCAGATTGGTTCTTTTGAAGCAGCGAGTCTTCTCGACGGTTTTGTATTGTCAGCGGTCAATCGAACAACCCATGTGCGCACCCGTCTCGACAAACGACAAAAAGTGCCTACGGGACTCTGGAAACGACAGGTTGTACATCTGAAGAAAAAAAGCCAACAAAGATTACCAATAGATCCAGCAGTCCAACCATTTCTACATCACCCTTCTCAGACTACCTATAAACCCCCTTCACCTCCCCCCCCTGCTGCGAGCCTACGTATGCCAAACCCCCCATTTGATAGCAAAATCCCGATGTGGCAACGTCAAAGTAGTACACTCCATAGTCCCCTTACTGCCCACCTTTTCCCCCTTATAGAACGGCAGTTTAAGCGTCTCTTCAATCATCCAGACCACATCCTCGTTTCCGGTTCTTAGCCAATTTCCCCAGAGCACGCCCTCCCCTCCCTCCACGCCCACCAGACAGGTGCCGTACTTGGCGATGATCTTTGGATTGGAACCCGTCGCCCACTTCCACGAGCCGCCCGCGCCAACGTTGATGGAGATCTGCTTGCAGTCGACGCTGTAGGGGGAGCCTGCGGAAGTTTGGTCGATTACAGGGCCGTAGTTCTTGCAGAAGGTTTTGGGACCTTCTTCGCGGGGGCCGATCAAGGCGGTGGGGTAGGAAATTGGGCGGGGGAGGTAGAAGCCAGAGGAGGAGGAGGAGTTGGTAGTGGTGGTGGATGTCGGAAGGGCGACGCCGGTGGAGGAGAGGAAGAGGAGGATGAAAAGGAGGAATTCGCAAGTGATCATGGTTATTGGTTTCCTTTTCTTGGCGAGAGTTGCAACGAATATCTTGTAATGAATGTGGTATCGGCTGCTGTTCCAGTTTAAAATCAAAGAGCGACAACGTGGAAGACGAATGTTCGGTGGAAATCAACGGACAGACAGCCCAGTCAAACCAATCTCCATTTTGACATCTAGTATTTATACAGTTTGTCCAATGACGCTAATTTTACAGCGTTCCTGACTTAGTTGATCGAGACAAAGGATGGTGGCATATTGAATACAACGTGGTTGTTCGGGGTCTTTGACGATGTACAATCGTAAGAGCCTCAACTGCTGGTTAGTATTGTATTTTGCATCATGCGATCCACAACATGAGAACAAGATGGCGAGAACAGGATTAAAAATAAAGTGTCAAGGGAGAAGAACAAGGGCAAAAAGCGGGAGAAAAAAAGACAAGCAAAAAAAAACATACAACACCAGGGATTCGCTGGTCGTTTACCGACCCAACTACTAGTCAATTCTGCTAATCAGTCCGTTGTGTTCCCATCGTTATCCTAACTGCTTGTTTCTACGTCGTCGTCGTCGTCATCCGCTTCTTGCGAAGACCCCTCTAGGGAATCCGTATCCGTCGTGTCCCTGGTTGGCGGCCGCGCCTGTCCATCAATCTCATCACTAACCCACATGCTAATCTCACCGTCCGGTATCTTAGCCCTCATCTCCTCCGTCGAAGCAATGTGGAGTTCCCACCCAGCCACGTTAGCCTGTTGCCATGCCCCGTAGATATTCTCAATCTCTGGACGGTCGTCCGTCTGGTGCATCGTGATTTCCCTCGGCAACCACCCCGAGGGGTCGGGTCCATGTCGGTCGTCGGGCTCTTTGCGAATTCTCGCCGCATCCCAGCACCAGTCGTGAGCAGGATAGTCGCAGACCTCCGGCAGATCGCCAGGGACCTCTAGTCCGAGCTCGGAAGCACGATTCCTGAGATAATCGACAAAGTGGTTCCGGACGCTGTCGTCACGCTCCCAAGAAGCCATGTCCCACAGCTGTATGGACGGCTCCGGCGCCAGCTTATCCCACAGCTCCGTATAATTACCAGCAATACACGCCATGGCCACCTGGAGGTGCATGTCCGGCCGGAGCTTGGCGAGGGCCTCCAACGTGCGCTCGGCGGGGATGAGCGGCCACCAAATCATGCCTGGCATCTCGTGGCAGTTCTCTTCGGGATCGGGATCGGTGGCCGTCATATTGGACAGGTCGTTGACCATAATAAAGCGCGCGAGCGTAGCCGCCCGAATATTCTCCGAATTGGTATGGCTATAGCTGTGCCCGTCCCGTGGCTGCACCGACCACCACTTGGCAAAAGTGGTATTGTGGTAAATACCGCGCAAAACGGCGCCGTACTCGCCCATAATCATCTCCGGCCGGCGCAGGCGCAGGTAGCGGTCCAGGTTGCCTTCGTACGCGGCCATGATAATTAGCGGGTCCTTAACTATAGTCGGCAGGTGTAGCGGTAGAGGCGTGTAAAATAGCTCGACGTGTTCCGGCGGCATCGTTCCCTGCTGCGCGGCAGTATACGATGCGTCCGTCGTGACCTCGCCAACGTGGGCGGTCTCGGTAATATCGAAAGGAAACGCCTCGTTATCTAAATTAAAATAATCGCCGGGCCATGTAGTCCAGTAGTCCTCCGGGCCGACCGTCACATCCAGTGTTGATAAGACGGCCGTGTCGCCGTTCATAAACGCCGGACACTGTGGGTTTTCGTGGTTAACGGTCCTAGTATAGTCGTCCAAGACGGCGTAGCAGACCGGCTGCTTCATAATGTGCTCGAAGATGGCCTTGCATCCCGGGTTGTTCGAAATCGCGCTTTGTTCTCTGGCCTCTTCGGCGATCGAGACCTCGGGAAGGAGGCCAAGCTCGTGATACAGCTCGTCGTATCCTGCCACGGCGCACGCGCGGCCCACGAGATATGCCATGTCGGGATACTCCTTTGCTAGGCGCCGGAGCGTCTTTTCGCTGGGCGTATCAGGGTGCCAGAAACAGTAGGGCTTGGCGCCGTCCGTCTTCATCCTAGGAATCTGGTTGCTCATAATGAGCCGGGCGTTACGTGCCCGCGCAAAGTAGCTCTCGGGCTGCTTCTTGCAGAGCTTCACAACCTCTGCAGACCTGGCAAACGCCTCGTGGTGTCGTATGCCGCGGATGGCGCAGCGGTAGAGATCGTTTTTCCAGTCTTCAGGAAGACGCCCCCCCCGCAAGGCGGCGCGGGCCTCATTGTGAAAGTAGGCAATTTTGTTGACGGATGGCGGCTTTTCAGACCTTTCCGGGTAGGGTTCCTCGAATGTGGTAAGGGAGGAGAGTAGATTGGCCATTTGGCGCGATCTGGAGAAGAAGCGGCAGCCGCTGAAAGTCTCTTGTAGGACAGAGCGGGATTTTCAGGTGTATTTCCACAACATGGACAATTTGGTGTGAGGAGTGTCTGGTGTGCTTGATGTGAGGAAAGGAGATGAGGGGTCTAGGTACCTTTTTATATAGAAACGGCGTGCTAACTCCTATCCCTGTTAATGTATATACTTACCTTGACCCTTGCATTGAGCCGTTGTGACTGTAACGGCGTGAATAAGCTTGCCCTGTCACTACTCGCGAATTCCAGCAAGCAGATTCTCAATCAGTGGCAAGTCACCACAGGTCCGTGATGACTTTTTTTTTTCCTTCTTTTCTTTTTTTTTTCTTTTTTTTCTTTTTTTTCTGGGTTGATGGAGTTCAGGAAGATCTTCATCTCTACCCAAGCTTCCAATGCAAAAGTCCCTCCGAAAGTTTGGCCGTTGTCAATGAGCAACACTATGAAAAACATGCTTGGGATTCTCAACTTCACGACCCTTTGCTTACGGGTATTTGAAAGTTAGTACGGAAGACATCACCGTGGAGATTCTCTTGATTGCTCTGTATTTAACCATCCCCCGAGGTTGATGTTTCCGAATGGACCTGGGCAGGTTTTAAGACCACACAGCCTCTTCAGATCCTTTACGAATCACTGCTACGACAGACATCTGCCATGGTACAGTTTATTGAAAATGTTTATTGAAAATCAGCCAAAACGCCTTGAGAGTCTCGGACGATGGTCGATCGCCAGGTTTTCCCTCTTTGAAGGCAAAGCATTTGAAACACTCTAAGGAGTTCACGTCGCCCCTGGCTTATTTCAACAATTTGCACAAGACTTTGAATGTAAATAGCCACTTCCTCAGAATAATTCATCACAGGCTGTAGTTCCTTGCTGCTGGAGACGACTCCAGGAAAAAATGCCCTCGTCGGACTTCTCCCAACAGCAAACATGCCGGGAGTTCCATACAAAGTGGAAGTTTTCCTCAAGTTGACACAAGTTCAAGATGCACTATTGGGAGTGGTCTACATACGACTCATCAATCACATAGGAGATGCATATCTTGCCACTTTTCATCCCCAAGTTTCATAAGGATATCTAAGCCCTGTTTCTTGCCCACCTTTCTGTTGTCCCTTGGTATGCGTGTTGTCGTGTTGGACGCGGCCTTGCGGCAGCGTGGAAGTTACCAGTTCGCCTCTGGAACGGGCCACACTTTGTTTGCCTTCTTCACCTTTTGCGCAGATGGCGATGCGAACATGGAGATTCCCGGAAGGTTATATATCAAGGCCGAGTATGAGGCAGACGAAAGTCCGTAACAGCTGAGAACTCTTCATACACCGAACTATTTAGTGGTTCTAAAATCAAAGCATCTTGGTAGTACTATTTTTGCTTGTGCTGGAGTGGACTAGAACGTGTTTTCACACGAGGCCTGGACGCGAAAGAGAACTTAACCTGACTGACTACGATGAAGCCCAGATACGTGGATGAAGGTTGCTTTAGGCGTTTTGTGCAATCATCTCATTGTTTGTGGTTTGTACCTTCGAGGCGCCGCCCCTGAATCCTTACTCGTGGCACTAAAGTCTCGACCTTTACACTCACCGCCAGTAACCACGAGTTACTAGCGTATCGCTTCAACTTGGATTAAAGTTAAGGTCCGCTGGGCTTGTAACAGATGATGCAAGAACCTCGAAGGGGAAGGTATGACAGTGAAACGTGTTCGTGGTAGTAACCCTCGTTGCTGATGATTTCCGGTACTTCTAGGTTTAAAGTGGATCGCTCAGGGGTAAGGTAGATGCGGCTAACTGGGAAGGACAATGGTAATGGAAAGGGGATCACGCACTTTGGGTTTCCGTTCAAATTTCCAGGCTCAAGTTCCGTTCTTTGTCAGTCCAACTCCCTTGGTCACATGTATGTACGGTACTCGACGGTAACACAAACAGCAAACATGCCGGGCAACCCACAAGATATCCAAATTCAGCGCGACTGCTGCCGCCTTGAAGATGACGTGATGGAGACAGGCTGACGGATAATTTTACATTGGCTATCATGTGTTGTTCCGAAGTCCCGAGACCGTGAAGCCATGTTTATTACACCAACGACAACAATTTCGTCTGTCCCATGCTATGAACACCACTTCGGCCATCGCAAGTACACTCCTCAATGACCTTCCCGCACATATTCAATGCCACGAAACAACGGGTACAGAGTGAGCCAGCTGACCATGATAGCCCCAGTACGCTATCGCTCACTCATCGGCCACGCCAGTCTTGTCCTCGTGCGGGCGGTACGAGGTGAGGCCTAACCATGGCACACAACGGTTGTCCTGAACCGAACTGACCCAGGGTAGGTACAGCGTCGGAGCTCACCTGTCAACGGCTGCTCCTTGGCACACGGTCCTACCGCTAAGCAATATTGTGGTAGCTTTGTGTTTCTCACAAACTCGTCATAGTCCATATCACTTCGGAAATCGGAGCCAGTGAGGTAGCACGGCTCCAACACCAGGTTATAACTTGATCGCCTCCCAACTCCTGCTTTGCGACCACTCACTGGTATGCATTCTATATTGCGTGCATGCCCATGCCCATGTCGAGAAGCTGCAGCGGCTCGCAGGCTCGGAGCAGCAGGCCCTGGGTCTTCCTTTCGCAGGACAAGAACGGATGGCAACTGCTCCAACGCATGGCAGGATAACCTTTAGGTCGCGGATAGGTACGGGATGTGCGAGTGCAACACCCCTGCTTCTCATTGGGACTTGCAGCCAATTTTATACATCTCATCCCATCTGGGTAACACAGAGTATCTTTGTGTCACGGAACTCTCCAGGCGGTCTATGGTCTACCCAGTCGGTTGATAGCAGCCTGGCAGCAAGTCTCTGAAGGACAACGGCCGTTGAAACAATGAATGATGCTCTTTGGGCCGCCTGCTTTTCGTGTCCTTAACGCCCAATCTTGCAAGTGTTCGGTGTACGGCTAGGTACGGGGACGCGCCGCCAAGGTCAGCCAGGTTCACCTTTGCCCTTGCAGTCGTCCCCAACCACCGCGAGAATTGCACCTTTCTCAGTCAAGATGATACTTTTACCCAACGTGATTGGGAATAGGTCCTGGAAATTTCACCATACTTACTACTGTACCTACCTAGTCTAGGTACTGGAACAAACGGTGAGTCAAAGTCGAGATTTCGTCGCCTGACCTAGGTGATCTCCCTAACGGAATTGCAGCTGGTGCCGCCACAAGGACCTGCCGGCATCTCCTGCTGATAACCGGAATATCATTCACTGGCCTTTCACTTCGTTCTGCTGCCGCTTCCTGGGTGAGGCTCAGGAATTCTTGTATCTTTCACGTCCTGATCATTATTTCTTTGGACAAAGTAGCCCGTCCGTTGCCCCTCTCAATCACCCGACACCACACGGATCGCCACTGTCGTCAAGGCTGGCTGTCTAGTTGCGGCCGGAAGTATCTGGACTCAAATACCAGGACTCAACCGACTCGGCAAACAGCCGTCAATGCGACAGGCAAACATCATGTCCTCGAACGAGAAGGATAAAGCCTCGACTGGAAGTGCGGCCGAGAAGGCCCTGGCTCACAACCCTCCTCCCGGTCTGGAAAAGGCAGAAGGAACCCAAGCCAGCGCAGCGAAGGCCCTCGACGAAAACCACCAAGCTCCGAGCACCTCGACAGATTTCGAGCAGCACAATGGAGATTCCACTGTAGGAGATATCTTCATTCAACCTTCCGTGGCAGCATTACTGACATTATCATGTTCAGCGGTTGAGTGTCCGCAAAGCATTGGCTCTAGCAGCCTTAGCTTGCTGCTGGACCAATGCACAAGCTCCTCTGTATCTGTTTGGTAAGAAGACATTGATTGTGCTGCTTGAAGCTCAAATCAATTAGTGGACATCCAGCTAACCGATCTACTAGCTGCCGTACCTGTCTTTGTCTACCGCGATCTTGGAGGAGTTGATCGCTGGGTCTGGTTCATAACTGCTCACCTACTTGCCACTGCCGCCATCTCTCCTTTCGTTGGTCGTTTCTCAGACGTTTTCGGACGCCGCTGGGTTGCTCTGGCCGGAAGTAGCTTCATCGTTTTTGGCCAGATCATGTGTGGTGTTGCTGAGAACATGGATATCTTCATCGGTAAGTCCATCCGGAACAGCTTCCCTGTTAACACCGATCCAATGATCCATACTGATATTCTAACCAGGCGGAATGGCTCTCACCGGAATTGGCACCGGTATCAACGAGCTCACGGCTCTCGCGGGAACAGCAGAACTCGCCCCTGTTGCGCATCGTGGCTACTACATTGCCGGCATGATTCTCACCATCATTCCTCTTTTGCCCTCCGTCATGTACTCCCAGATCATCTCGGCTTTCTCCACATGGAGGTATATCTCAATTCTCACCGGCGGCTGGGCATTGGTTGGGCTTGTAATGACAGCCCTCTTTTATCGTCCTCCGGCGCCAACAGAAGGTCTCAATTGGAAACAAAAGCTTTCGCTTATGAAGGATATGGACGTGGTCGGTGGCTTCCTGTCTATCGTTGGGCTGGCTCTGCTGGAAGTCGGTCTTTTGGGTGGCGGATATCAGGTCAGTGGAAGACAGGCAATGCTACAATCGTTTCGTAAAGGCTCTTGGCTTAATGACTAACACTCCCTCCCTAGTATCCGTGGGCAAGTTCAAGAGTCTTGGTTCCCCTGATTCTGGGATTCTTCGTATTGATTGTCTTTGGCCTTTGGGAGTTCAATCGAGCCAAGACACCCATGATTCCCAGAGACTTGGGTCCGGCTCCCCGTACACTCATCATGACCATGATCATCACCTTCATATCCGGTGCCAACTTCTTTTCTGTCCTGATGTTATGGCCAAGCGAGGCCTATAATGTCTACGGCAACAAGTAAGCAATTCTCTTTTGTTGCATCTTGCACACATCTTCGTCCTGTTTCCATCTTCGAACTCCATCACTGACGTAACAACCCATGTCCCTAGCCCCTACGGCGTTGGCTTCCGCGGCATGCCCTTCCCCTTCGGTATCCTCACCGGCTGCGTCATATCCCTCTACCTCATTGCCCGCTTCCCGGGTCATATCAAATGGATCGTCTTCCTCACCTGCTGCATCATGACAATCGGCTGCGGCGCCCTCGCCTCCGCTCGTCTCGACAATATCCACGCCATGTACGCGGTGCTCTTCATCGCCGGCCTGGGCGTAGGCGGCATCGTCGTACCCGCCTCGACCATCGCCACTATCATCTCGCCGAGAGACTTCATCGCTACGATTACAGCCTTGACCATCTCCATCCGCATCGTTGGCGGCGTGATAGGATACACGGTCTACTACAATGTCTTCGTCCAGAAGCTGGTTCCGCAGCTTACAAAATTGGTAGTGGAAGCGTGCATCAAGAGCGGGATCACCAACAAGGAGATCATTGGCGTGGTGATTGAACTGACGGGCGCTTCGCTGGTGGACGAGATCCGCATATTGCCTGGCGTCACGGACGAGAGCTGGGCGGTGATCGTGGCGGCCGGCCAAGAGGCGTACGTGAGGGCGTATCCGTGGGTGTACTACTGCAGCATCGCCTTTGGCGGAGTGTCGATTCTGGCGAGCCTGGGCATGGAGGATATTTCAGGCTTGATCGATAGGACGGTTATGGTTCATATGTAACGGAACCATGGCTGGCGCCTTGGGGGTGCATGGCGGTGTCCTTCGGGCGGTTTCCTCGATTTCCATCCACTAGCGCGGAGCAATTTGACAACTTCTTATCAGAGCAGCAAACGATGCGGTCTTTGTCAGTCGCATATGTTGATTAGGAGGATTTGCTGGAGGTTTGGCCTTGGGGTATCTGGGGAGGGATGTTTCGAGCACCTACTTCGCTATAATATCGGGAGATCCATGTATACACTAGGAGGACTCGATCCTCAAGGGACTCAGAGACGATTTGGTTGATATAGATAGTATAAGGCTGCAGGTGGTCCTTTTCGGATGCCTGGAGGCGGAAGATCATGGACGAGGACTGTTTCGACCTATATGCCATAACGTTAGTTTGATGTAGATAGAATATCGACTTTCACGTCCTGAAACCACCCGGGAGGACTACGAACAGTACGAAGATGTCATACTTGTATTTTGCTGTCATCAGTAGTAACAGTACCGATATAACCCGAAATCTTGAGGAGACCTTTGGCCGTAGCCTTGGCGGGCAATCAACCACCTAGGCAAGTGAGTCAGTCCAATACCGCTCGTTGTAGTTAAGAAAGGCTGTTGCAATTGAAGCTGTAGGAGGGATTACGATAGTTCAAAAACACATTGGCTCAAGTCCCTTAGGGATATCTTCATCCAGGAGTTGCTTAGACGTCAAGTTCCGAGGTGTGATAAAGATGCTTGGATGCGTACTAGTAAGAGCGTACTCAAGGTCTAATGTACTGACTGTAATGAGTTCGGTCTATCTTTACTTCCATTCGGTTAAGGTCTCAATGATTTTGTCAGAGACGAGCCTCGTACACTACATTCGCATAGCCGCAGGAAATATACGTGGCTTGTCCAACAAAATAAAGAAGTGTCTGCTCACCGTCTCCATCTACCTCTAGGGACGATTCCCCTTACTGGGCAAGTATTTGCTCCTAATGGTGTGCCCGATCATGCTCATCCGACTACCAATCGTTCCATCCTGCATCCTACTGGCTAGAGCTTCCTCGAGTGCTGACTGAGTTACCGAGGCATCTGCATTGAAGAGTTTGGTCAACATGCCGGTCGTTTATTCACATCCATGTCTTCAAACAGAGGAAAAAGGAGACAGGATGATGGAAAGACTTCCGGGACGAGGGAACAACTGGAACCACCAAACTCACCATCAAGATCACTAAAACTACTCCCCATACTCGGCGCCCCTTCGCTTCCTTCTCTCGACAGCATATCTATCCTTCTTGGGGACAGTGGGCCGGGGAGTCTCGCTCCAGGTCCACCTGTACCACCTGCACCACTCGTACCTAAACGCAGTTCACCGCTAGCAAGTCGACGTGGGTTGCTAGGAATGATGGCCGCCGAACTGGTAGACGAGTCCGATGTTTGCGATTGGATCGTGGATAATTGGGGATGATTCTTCGTACTGCTCAGGCTGTGACCGTGACCAACTTGCTGCTGCTGATTTTGTGATCCAGACGACCCTATCCTATTTCGAGGGGACGGTTGATGGTCGCGGTAGTTCAGGGGGAGCTTGGTCACGGTTGCGTAGAGATCTAGAGCGCCGCTGCCGTCTGAGGTTGAGGTGGAGCCTGTTGGGTTGCTGCTGTTGTTTTCACTGTTATGACGTTGTTGGAATTTTGGTTGGTGTTGGTGTTGCTGTTGTTGGGGCTGGTGTTGTCTGGTCCTAGTAGGAGGGAGGAAAGCGAGCTCGTCATCGTCATCGTCAGAAGCTTTACTTTGGCCCGCTGATTGAAAGCGTGGAGGACGGCGGATGTAGCGGCTTTGCATCTGCTCGGCATAGTCTGAATCGTCGGAGGATGGTGATGTGGAGGCGACTGGCGATGGCGATTCTGGGGGCCGGTAGGATCGGTTATCGTCTGTTTCGTGGATGGCATCACCGGAAGAGGCGTCTTTGGTGTTAATGGACAAGAGTGATACTCTCCGGCGTTGCGGATCGCTTAGCCTGCTGGCTATCTTGTTGTTTGAAGTCGTAGGAGGGGCAGCAGCGAGGCTCGGGTTCTGCCCTGGGATTAAAGTGGTTTGCGACGAGTTGCGCGAGATGGCTGGTCGTAGAGGGTTAGAGGACGTCTTAGCGGTGGGTATCCCAGGAGTATTGACATCGTCTTTAGGAGCGAGAGCTTCCTTGCGCATGGAGAGAGCTGAAGTACGGCCGCCGACAGAGCCAGCTCTTCTCAAGCCTTCGGCGTACCCAACAGGCTCGCCGCCGGGAATCGGTGACGGAGCAGCGGAACCGCGACCACTCGCGGCTTTCCTCATCTGCGCCCGCAGTTGGGCAGTGTGTCGCTCGGTCAGATAGGATACCATCTGGAGGAGGAACTCGACTGTGACATCGAACTGGACTGCCCTATAGCAACGCACAGTGTCAATACTCGAGGCCGAAGCGCACCGCCAGGGACGAGGAAGACTCACAGCTCGTGCCCTAGATATCAGAGTGATTAGCATGAAGCCTGCATTGTGGGACGATTTAGACTTACAGTCAATCTCTGTCTGCGATACCCCTGAGATAATCGTCCATAGCGCTTCGGATTTCCTATCGTCCCAGCTCACCTTGCGAGGTCAAGTTAGCTGGCGTGATTCACGGGGACGACTAAAGACACAGTGCGGGAAACATACTGGTGGAGGATCAACGAAGTCGCCCCGATTGAAGGGAAGTCGGACATAGACATGGTATCTGGGTTCCCTTCTGTCCTGGTTGGAGGACGAGCCTGGCCTCTCTCTGAGCGACATGGTAAAATCCGGAGGGGTGGTCAACAACTAAGAACAAGGAAAACTGCGGAAATGGATTTGGAAAGGGTGTGTCGTCGGTCTTATAATAAGTAAATCAAAGGCTCCGGACCACGGAGGTACACCGGTGAGTAAGTGCTGTGCTGTGGGTGTGATTGAGTGCATCATAGCGTGCTGCGTACAGCAGTCAAGACGGGGCGCCAGGGCTCCCGTCCAGGCAGGCAGCGCTTATCGATAAGTCATGCTTGCTGATGCTGGCTGCTAACGGGACCCTACCCGTCGAGCGAGGGGTTACCGTCCAATGCCCGCTGGGACAGGGGACAGGGGGAAAAGGCTGTTGTTGCCGTAGCAAGAATCCCAATTGGGCTGACGTTCAACAGTTCCAGCACTTTCAGCATTGAGGTGATAGCGCATCGAAAAATCCGTCGCGTCGCATCTTCATTCGCTGGGCATGCAACCACCACTTCTTGTCCTGAACCACCTGCGACACTCGACAACTTCACATTCTCTCTTGGTACCGGCAGGAGCTGTTGGAACAAACCGGAAGCTACAACTTACCGCTCCTACCGTCCTCTAGGATCATCACCGTTATCCGACCGCGAGCAAACACCCTGCACATAGCACATAGCAATTGCCCATTTCCCACATCACTACGAGATAGCTTGCCCAACACCGTGCCTGACATGGCGCCCTTGATCCTCCACAACGTCCCCGATGACGAGCTCTACGTCGGTGACGACGGCATTCAAAGACCTTATGCCATGGTGTTCCCACAGTTCGTTTGCCCGCCGTCATCTTAGGCTTGACAAACCAGCTCCGATACTGACTTTAGATAAACAACAGCCAAGATGGTCCCCGCTCGAGAAGGACAGTCCATGAGACAGGCTCCTTCGGCAAGTCAACACGTCGGTCGCGGTCCAAGACAGCAACGCCAGCCAGGAGGGAAGATGCCACGATAGCCGCCGCCGACCGTGTATTCTCGAACTACCTCGCGAACCTGAACCCAGACCAGAATCTCACAGCCGCCCAAAGGAAACAGTCTCTCATACCATCCTCCCTCGGCGATGAGAACGCCGCGCCCACCCAACTGTCTAACAAACACCACCCGACCGAAGTCATACTACGCGGCTATCGCTCCGTCTCGCACCAGTACGCCGCCATCAACCACTACGAGGAGCTCGCCGGGAGGATATGCGAGGATTACCCACGCGACCCACCGCCCGAGAACAGGCGGTACAAGTCCGAACTGCGCGACCCTCTCTATGCGCGAAGAAGGCCCTTGACTGCCGAAGAGCGCGCACTAGTCAACAGAGTCGACGGCGGCGAGCACTGGGTGAAGGTGACGTTTGAATCCGCCGAGGCCGCCGAAGCAGCCATGATTGCCTCTCCCCAGGCCATCCTCGGCCACCTCGTTTTCGCCGAACCGTACGATGGCGTCCCACCCGCCCGCGACGAAGCCGTACCAGACAACGCCTCCTTCATCAGCAACGGCGTCACTCCCGCCGCCACAAACAACCGCCGCGCTTCATCTGGTCAACAACCACGCTCCCGTGTGACCATGACTAACCCCTACACCTCCTACCTCGACAGCAACGGCAACAACCAATCCCCTTCCTCCTCCCGCACCGCCGATACCGGCACTATCTCCGACACCTCCAGCGCAACCATCACCTCGGCGGCCATGGGCGCCGTAGCCGGCGCCTTCACGCACGGGCTGGACTCGCTCGCGCACTCGACCGCGGGCGGTGCCCACCATTTGTCTTCGGTAGTCGACGCCCAGGATCCGGACAGCGAGTTCTGCCGGGCAATCCCGACGGTGCGCAAGGCTAAGCTCCTGCCCGTCGACCAGGCGCTGCTTCCTGCTCCTTCGTACACGCAGCGCGTGCTGAACCACGTGCCGCTCTTCAAGTGGTTTAGTGGGAACATGATTGGGAACGAGGTGCCGAGGAAGGAGAACGGCGAGTTTGATTGGGATCGGGCGAGCTTGTACTGGAAATTGATGTGGTGGTTGGATGCGAGGTTGTGCTTGTTTAGGGGGGAGGTGTTGAGTGCTGATAAGGATGAGTGAGCTGGTCAGGAAGGGCGTTGGGCTGGGTGGGAGGTGGACGTATTGGCAAAAGGCGTGATGGATGGATGGTTGGATCATGATATTGACCATGGGGGAGAAGGTTGCTGTTATACGTTAAGCATCGATAGCGGCGGTGGTGATGGGGGGAATGAATGATACCAATGTCGAGAATTGCTCCAGATTGAAGAGTACGTTATCTTATGCATTAAGCTTGTTTAGCTTGTCCTTATAAGACGTTGTTCAAGTCTAGGTTGATCCTTTTCGCGCTTTTCCTCACCCACAAGCAGTGAACGCAGCATCTCAGACATCTACGATAGTGGCTCGAACTTGTGTAAAGGACTTTTCAAATTCATGAGTATCTAGACGTGAAGAAAGGAGAAACTCAGGACTCAGTGAACAACGTGAAACAAGAAGAAATCTATTTGCCTGCCTGCCTGCCTGCCTGCCTGCCTGTTTGGTGCTCATTGTAACTGGTGAGACGAAACAAATCATCATGCAAACTAAAATAAAAAAAAACCGAAAATAAACACAAGCTAACAAAATAACAAATACTCCTGAAAGCTATGTAATCGTAACAGTCGTAAACCAAAGAGGCAAAACTCAAGTCAGCCAGCCCATCAAAAAAGACCGCCCGGTACGTTCGTTCATACTCGTACTCGTACCCCTACCAACAGCAGCACTAAATCTACCCCTTTTTGTATGGCTCCCTCCACCCAACAGGACTCGCGGCGCTCGTGTCCCTAGAGTCCCCGGAGTCCCTGGAGGTACGTGTGGTGCTTGGCCTCCTGCTGCTCGCGCTCGTGCTCTTCATACCCATGTTCATGCTCATATTCATGCTTCTCGTTCTAAACCAACAATCTTACCAACGTCAACAAGGCTCATCAGGCTCCTGCTCGGATCACGGCTGGCGGCCGTTGGACTTGCGGTTCTGGTATCTGTATCCATACTCCACCTCCTGGTCCTTTCACCAGTAGAGGATGGTGTAGAAGGTACCCGAGCCAGAGCCAGTTCTTCATCGACCTCATCGTGGTCGTGACTCGTCGCCGACGGTGGCAACAGCCAATTTCCTTAACTAGCCGTTACCGTGGCCGCCGTTTGCGTGGGCGGGGTCATGGGCGTTATCGTCGGCGTAATATCATTCTCTTCTTCGCCCACCATGTCCCTCTCTTTCTTTTCGCCATGGCTATTCTCCCCATGCTTTTCGTGACTGCCGTGAATAGTATACTCGTCCTGGCTGTGGTACTGGTCGTCACTACTGCTGCCGGCGGTGGCGACATCCATTCTGGAGGCGGACACAAAACTCATCAACCCACCCGCCGATCCCGGTTGCCCGCTGTAGCTCCAGCTCCCGTCTCGCAGCTCGTGCTCCTCGGAGGGAAGGGCGGATGTGGATGCGGCAGACGGGTGCTGTAGCCTCTGCAGCGAGCTGCCGGTCAGGCTCCGGTTGATGCCTAGCGAGATGCTAAGGCGGCCGGAGTAGCTGCTTCGCTTGCTGCTACTTTGGTTGCTGCGCGGCCGAATCTCGTGCTGCTGCTGCTGTTGCTGTTGTTGCTGCTGTTGTTGTTCCTCGTCCGGCTCGGTAGGCGGGCGGAAGCGGCAGGGGATTTGGTCGCGCCAAGGAGAGACGAGGGCTTCGTCGTCTTCGTCGTCATCGCCGTCAGCAGTGCTGTGGCTACCGGGGAGAGGGAGGGTTAGGGATTGGTTGCCGAGTGGAGAGAAGAGAGCGTCCTGTTCTCTTTCGTCGTTCTCTCGGGGCCCGGCAGTGGGGGATGGAGGGTCGGAGGCGCCGAAGAGGGACTTGGGATTTAGAGCAAGAGGTTGTGGTTGAGGGGAGAAGGGGCGTGGTCCCCGCGGACGGTTGACACCTTCAGAAGAGAAGACACTCTCCGTGTCCTTGTCTCGTGGGGGTGTGCGGGGAGAGTAGACGACTGTCGATTGGTTATCGGGAGAGTGAATAGCGCCTGCGAGGCTCTATTGGAAGTATTGATTAGTCTCGTACCCCAAGTCTTCGGTGCCTCTTCTCGCTTGGTGATGGTTGTTGCCTACCAGTCTTAGGGTGTCTTCTCTTCCCCCGCCTGTTGTATCGGCGAGAATACTCCTGGGCGGCAGAATGCTGAACAGCTTACTTCCCTCACCAGCGCCGCCGCTCGCTATGCCGCCATCGCCGGCACCGCCTGCGACGATGTTGCCTCCTGCCCCACCAAACCTGCCGTCAGAATGTCCCACGGTCCTGTCTGCGATCACATCCTCGCTGGCGAAGAGATCCTGACCCTGTTCCAGCACATCCTCAAGTCCACCACCTGTCCAGCCCTTCCGCGCCATACTCTCGAAAATGTCAATTTCGGCTCGGACGAGCGAACAGCTTGCTTCCACGATACGGGCGCTGGTGTCTTGACTCTCCCTCAAGAGTGTCCTGGAATGCTCGCCATGCAGCGTTGTAAGACCATCCAACTTAGTGGTCAACTCAACGAGATGGCTCCGGAACTTGGCCACGTCCCTTCTGCGCTGCTTATGCAGCTTCATCCCTTCCTTCTCCAACCGTCTGATCTCCTTGGACTGCACGGCCACCGCGCTCGCATAACTCTCCTCTTCATCCTCAACCGCGCCACGCCACTTGTCTAACTCGTGGAGAAGAGGGACCTCGAACGAGCGGTAGACCGTCTCGGAAAGGATGTGCTGGTGGTTGGCAACGAGGTGCTGCAAACCAGCGACGGTGAGTAGGGTGTCGGCCGTGCAGGTGGACTTTGTGGTGCCCTGAGCTGCAGAGGTGAAGCTATTGGCCATCAACAGCGGGGGAGGACCGCCGCCTTGACCCTGGCCGCCTTGTACCGGACTTCCACCACCTCGATCGGAGGGAGCAGACACGATCTGTTCGGCGCGGGCTTCTTTTAGACGGGCGCAAGATTCGAGAGCAGAGCCGAAGGCGGAGGCAGCAGTGGAAAGTGAAGTAAGGGCCAGACGGAAGGCCTTGGCGGAGGAGACGAGGTCTGCATATGCGGCCTGCGATGCTTCAAGGTCGTGCTTGGTAAGGACAGCATGCGCCTGTTTGGGCGGAGGCGGCAGTGGCAGGTTGAACTGCGACAGGTTCGCATTTGCGGTAGAGGCGTATGAATAGGTTGGGCTCGATGGCACCGGAGGTAGTTGTGAGAGGGTTGGCGAGGGAGGTGACTTGGGCGCCATGCTTATACTAAGCAGAATCTAGATAATGCGGCTGCTTGCCTCTATTCCGGGGGCTGAAGCGCTGGAGGTCTGGACTCTGTTGGAGGTACTGCGGATCTCGAGGAGGGCGTCGGTCGAGATGGGGAAAAAGACAAAAAAAAACAAAGAAAATTTGTTTACTCGAGTTGGTGCGACATGGGAAGAAGAAAGCCAGCAACAAACAGGTCGTAGGTATTAAGAAAAAAAAAAAGTAATGGCCGGGATCGTAGGAGGTTGGCACTCGGCTCGAATGGTACGATGATCGCAACAGGCTAGCGGATAGGTGGTATCTGGAATCTGGGATTCTGGGTACGAGATGCCCCCGCTGTAGGAGAGGACGGTGGAACCCTTCCCTTTTGGTGTTTGAGTCGGTTTTAGACTTTGTTATGCCTCCCCCGGCCCAAGGGCGCCTCTACACTAAATCGTGGGTGAACGCGCTATCGTGGTAGGTGGTAGAGGCGGGTTCTTCACCCACGATACCTCCGGCTATGTACCTTAGGTAGGGAACCTAGCTATGCTCCAGTCCCGTCACGAGGAGGTGCGCAACCTAAAGATGGGACAATGCTGTGACAAATTCTCGAGGTTATTTAATAACTCATTTCACCAACAACAACGAATCGAGATCTCTCAGTCAAGACAAGCAAGAAAACGAGCAACGAGTGGCAACCTGAAGTGGCTGTTGTTGTCATGGGCAGTCGTGCCAGATTGTTGGGCAATGCAAATGGGACGCTGCGATGAGGTGACAGCAGGACCATGTCCAGTTTTCGGGGATTTTGCCAGTGGGGTTTCCAGCGTCGGATGGAGCCACGACGACTCCTCGAATCCAGCGAACGTTCCCAAGGGAAGGCTTGTGACACTGACGACGGCCAGCATCCCATCAGCGGGCCACTGTCACTGGACTCGCAAGCCCACCCCCACTGATAAGATTGACTAACCGTATTCGGGGGAGATCGCCGTGCAAGCAACTGCTGTGAAACGGGAGCCATCGTGTTTCATCATCACCAACGTACAGACGAGAACCGCAAGCGGGTGTTAACGCGATAATGATGCCCTTGAACGTGTGAGGTGCATGGCCGATTGACGAATGATAGGTAGTGTGCCTGTTGGGAGTCGTGAGTTCATGACATCCGATGTACACTAAACACTCCAACATCCCCTGTACTTCCTGATGCCTAAAGCATGCAACGAGACAACAATGTCCAACAGCACATACACACGCAAGCGGGCAAAACATCTGAATCCAAAATACCTCCATGTACCCAGGCTGTATCAGAGTATATACCTATATATGAGGATATCCGACAAAAGAACAAGCAAGGCTGTATTTGAAGCAAGTAACGCTAGCATATTCACCATAAAAGACTGGACCTATAGCTCGGACTTCTGCTCCGACTTATCAGCCACCTTGGGCAGTCTCTCGGTCAAGAAATCCTCGATCGCATCCAACTCCTCTAGGCAAGCAGAGTGACCCATACCCCTAGCAATCCCAGGCAGTTAGCATGGAAACATTCGAGAAATTGATCGGCACTGAGATACCGGAGGTACTTACGGATACGTCGTGAACTTGACTTTGTACCCCATCTCCTTGAGCAAGTCACGGGTCATCGTGCCCAACTTATAGTTGACAACCGGATCCGCATCGCCATGGGCCATGAAGATGGGCGTCTCCTTGTTGAACTCGGGCTTGGGCACGAGCTCGGCGAACTTGAGGCTGAGGAGGAGATACGAGGACAAGGCGATAATGCCGGCCAGCTTGCATTTGGCAGTGAGGCCGCTGAACAGGCCCATGGCGCCGCCCTGGCTGAAGCCGCCGATGACGATGCGGTCGGCCGGGATGCCTGAGTCGATCTCCTTCTGGATCAGATCGTGAAAGTAAGCTTGGCTGGTTAGGATGCCAGCCTCATCCTCGTTGCGGCGGAGGGCTTCTGCGCTGCCATCAATGGCGAACTTTTATGGCTGTGGTGTTAGACTTGAAACTTGGCGGGGACGGAGCCAGGTACTACACAGAGTAGGTAAACTTACAATGTCATACCAACCAGGCATCTTCATGCCCCAGTTGGCAGTGATGGGAATCGAAGGCGCATGAGGCAAGATGAACTTGACCTCATCAAGGCGCTGGCGGCGACGCCATTGCTCAACGGCCGAAGCCCAGCCATGGCCAGTGTCGCCAAGGCCGTGGATGAAGATGACGGTGGCCGTGTGCCGGGCCACAGCTGGGACGAGGAGAGGAGGACGGCGGGCAAGGGAGGCCATTTTTGTGTGTGATGATTGTATGTGTTGAAAGTCAGTCCAACAAGAAGCTCTTTCCCGGAGCAGCGATGGCGTTGTGGTTGACTAGCGCCGTCCGAAGTTCACACGTGGGGCCGATGCTCAACCGGGGTCTTTGCTGTTGGAGCGGGGAGCTTCGAGGAACGGAACTCGGAGCCGTTAGTGGCGGGGATGGTGGAAACCCGGCGAAGCGGGGCCTCCCGCCAAATACGGATGGTGGGGTAGGCCGGAGAAAAGTCTGGTTCTCACGTATAACCCTAGAGGAAACCTGGTAACCCATGCAACCTCAAGCATGGTGGGGACACCACTATGTAGTGTAGTCCGGGTGTGTAGTGTAAATCACCAAAGTCGTCGGACTTGTCGGCGTTCAAGCGGGGGTTGCAGCGGAAGGAAGCAGGGGCCTGTGCATTTGCCTTACCAACCTGCTGACGAGAGCATTCTTCAGCAATCTTTCACCACCTTGTCGGCGTCTGTTTCACGGAAGCCAACGAGGTCACATCATGTCATGGGCTCCGTTGTGTCAATCGCTCGAGTGGAGCCGGAGCCCATCATGGATGGACCGCGATGATGATGGAGACTGGGGATTGCTTAGACATGCTTTCAAATCGAATAAATTCTTATCCCTTCTTATAGGACAGACTCGCTTCTGTTGTGTTGTGGTCATCAAGGTGTTCACACCCTTGTTTTCAGCTGTCTGTTGAGCCTCACTTCACTCCTCCTAAACAAATGCCTAATCCGCGGCCCCGCAGCCGACCTCTTATGATCGTTCCTGTTCTTGTTGCCGCCCTGGCGATCCTCCTGGCTTCCTCTTCAACCGCTCGCGGCCTATTCTCCCGGGTCCGAAGCGAAACATTCAACAAGTTTACCACAGCTTTGAACAACGCCCCCATCACCACCACCACCACCTCTACTTCTACCTCGCCGCTCCAGGCCGCCGCCACAGCGAACTTGACCTCTTCCAAAATGGGCAGACCCCCTGTGTACTTTTTCTCTCACGGAGGAGTAAGTTTCACTCACTCATTTCTCAGTCACTCTCCACACTTCAATGCAAAACCATCAACTAACACCCTCTCTCAGCCCGACGTCCAATACAACACCAAACACCCCGTCTACCCCGTCCTCCAAGCCATCGGCAAGGAAATCATCCAAAAAGTCAAGCCCAAGGCCGTCGTCGTTTTCTCCGCGCACTGGCAAGCCACCCCCTCCGAGATCCACCTCAACAACGCCCATGGCAAGACCGACCTAATCTACGATTTCTACGGGTTTCCCGACCACTTCTACAAGGCGACTTTCCCTGCTACCGGATCCCCCCAACTAGCCGCCAAGATCCAGCAGCTCCTTACCAAGGCTGACATCCAGTCCAAGGGTCTCAAGCGCGGGCTCGACCACGGCGTCTTCTCGGGCTTCAACGTCGCTTTTCCACCCAACACCGACCAGGCCATCACCGTTCCCTTGGTGCAAGTCTCGCTGTTCAAGTCGGAAGATCCGGACGCGCACTATCGTCTGGGGCAGGCGGTTGAGGAGCTCCGCGATGAGGGCGTGGTGATTATTTGTACCGGCATGACGGTGCATAACCTGCGGGACATGCAGTTTACTTGGGGCGATCCCAGGCCGCTTCCCTATGCCGTCAGCTTCGATGATGCGCTGAAGGAGGCGGTGGAGGGCGATGCGGAGGGCAGGCTGGATCGGATGAGGGAGGTGGTTAAAAGGGGGGACGCCAGACAGGCGCACCCGTGGATGGATCACTTGATGCCCATCTATGTGGCGGCGGGCGCGGCAGGGAAGGATAAGGGTGTGCAAACGTGGACACTGCATGAGGGGAGCTTTGCTTGGGCGCAGTATCGGTTTGGGGATGTGCCTGAGGAGTAACAGGGGGTTTGAGTGGAGAGAGCGATATCCTGGGATCGGAAAGGCGTTGTCTTGGATAGAAGAGAGAGTAATGTCCATGACACAGTCCCAAATAAAGGTATTTCAATAACATCGACATTCATAAATGGCAGGCATAAGGCAAGCACTGGGCCGTCCACAAGCTGGAACGAGAACGCGACGAAAATGTTACAACTGGCTAGGGCCTCCTGGCCTTAGGCCCGCCCATTTCACGTCCATACCTACCATCACCAATTTCCAATCAAGCACCCCCCCTCGAACCCACACCATCACCGTGAGTAGCGCTATCAATCTTCGCCAAACTCTCCTTCATCCGCTCAACAAGCCACTCATGCCGCTCACGCGCAGCTCTGCCATTGCCATGGCCACCATCATGGATGAGACTACCTCTACCGTCAGGCATAACTATCGTCGCCGCCGCCGTACGATGGATGCAGCACATCCCAGCAATAAAACAGTCCTCACAAGACTGGAAATACCCACCCAGATTATAGCCAAGTCTTTCGGGACTTTGCCGTGATTGTGAGGGCGTGGGGCTTCTGGAAGAGACTCCTTGAAGCATCAGTTCGGCGCTGTTGCTGTTGTTGCGATGGGCTTTCGAGAAGCTCCGGTTCGGCGTGATGCCGCTGTAGGAAGAGGCGTCCCCTCCATCTTCCCTTGGAGAGTTCCCAGCAGAGGCGTGATTTGACGCTGGGGTTTCGTTGTTGTTGTTACCATTGCAGCAGGAGTTACTTACCAGGGCTCTGTCAGTCATTCACGTACCACGACAACAAAGATCGTCTTGAGTCATCGAGTATGTTACTGGGTTTGTGCATGTACTCACTTTTGGTTTTCGATTTCCTTTTCTTCACCTCTGATCGGTGAGCGAAGGCGGTCTTGGTCTCCCACAGACTCCTCAAACTTTCCATCCGCATGTAGATATCCTTCGCTCATCGTACCGTCATCGTCGTCATATAGACGGCCAGGGCCCTCTTCTCCAATGTTAATATGACTCTGCGCGATCTCCTCATGATAGGCATGGTTACGGATGCCTGTGCTCGGCTGGGATTCGGAAGGCCTGCCTGTCTCGTGCAGTTTTGTGAGTCTTTGTCATGTAAGAGAACCAGAGGAGAGATCAAGAGCCAGCGTCGGCGTCAAGTCAATAGAGCTTACCACAGGCAGTAGCATCGTTGAAGCCCTAGTCATACCTTTGTTAGCAGGTGATGGAGAATACAAAAGAGATATGGGATGTTTTCGTGGCATGGAGTTCTATTCAATAACCTTCAGACTCTTCTGATACATTCAGCAAAGCGGACGTACATCTTTGCCCACTTCGAGCGAGGTCGTTGCGATATCATGAATCCACGAGGCTTGGTGCGGATAGGTAGCCATTTTGGTAGCTGTTCCCAACCAGTTACTTTGGCCCGACAGGGGACAAATCCAGCTGTACAATCAGCTCGAATGACTTTGGACTTTTGATTGACACGAAGATAGTAGAGAAGCGTATCTCAAAAAATTGGAAATGCCAAACGAATGGCTAAAACAACCGATAGTGTGACAGAAGCCTTGGAGTGGCTATGGATATGCTGAGCCTCAGGGGATGAAGACACTCAGAAGAGGAGGACTAAGGGCTGGTGAGCCTCATATTGGAATTTGAATAGTAACCATCGCTCTACCTACGCAATGAAAATTTCCTGTCTTACAAGAGGAGAGGGGGGCAACAAGCAATGGAACAGAACACAGGAAAGCTCGGCGGCCAGCCGCATAACGATTCGGTCTTCAAAGCAAACGATGCAACTAAAAGGCCCGAGCTGACGAACACAAATAGAATCCAAACATCAAGCAAGAATACGTCAAATTACTCTCATGACAGCTAGAAGACGAGAGAGATAGAGTAGGTATGAAATCTTGAAGAAAAAGGTATCCACCTCCTCTTTTGTGTGATGGATGCATGCATGGGAACACATGGCCAGCGGCATCTTTTATCGAACCAAACTGACAGTACCCCCAATCAGATTCCCTTCTGATCATTTGCGAAATGAAACTTGACAGCCTTTGAAATGCGTGGCTTGCGACGCCAAAGGGCGGCCATAGGTTGCAAACGATACCGACAGCTGCGGAGTGAACTTCCACCTCCCTCAAACCCACGTAAACCTGGTACCGGTATGACCCCTGACTATGCACCTCAACGTGACTGAATTGAACCAGGAAGAACGAAAGAATGAAAGAAGAAAAAGCAGATGTGATAAGGCTCATCAGGAAATGCTGATTAGAAAGAGTGAATAGCTTCTGGACCGAAAGGTGGTGGACCAATAATCCACCGGTGAACAGAAGTTGCAGGTCAAAGGATCTAGTTATCCCGGTTGTGAAGTGAAATAGCGAGTGTGACTGAGCCGTTACGCGGGTGTTTCGAGTTGATGTAACGCCAAAGGGGAGGCTTCAGCACCTGCTTTTCAGACAAATTGTTGATCTTGGACTGGATAGTGATGTCGCCTTTGAGTATTGATGGCTCAGCAGAGCCGATATATGATGCCATACTGGTCACTCGTTGTTTGCCGTTTTCTTCGTACAAAGCCTCCAGGTCTCTCTGCCGTGCCTGGAACTCCATGTCCAGCTGTCGACGGTGCTGTAACCTGCGGATGTAGAATCGACCGACGAAGAAGGATACCAGGATGACACAAGAGGCCACAATGATACCAATATCAACCGCTCCAAACTTGTATTCCGGTTCTTGGTCGGAAACAATTCGAGACTGGTCGTCGGAAATGTCGTCTTGAGCCATCTCGAGAGGTTAATACCTTTGATGTACAGAGATAAGCGTGTGTAATTTCTGGCAAGTAATCATGCTTAGCGCTAAGGTATCTTGCCGTATGCGGGACAATATCAAGGGATGTTTGATTGATAACTACCTCTGCAGATCCTGAGAGCGGGTGATGGCCTTGCGCTCAAGGCGGTCGTTGACGAAGAGAAGGAATACGTAGCTCTTATTTTAAGAGCAACAGTGGAGTGAGACCCGAAGAAGACTGTCGAGAGCTTCTAGAAGAGTATCAAGAGTGTGTCGGTATGATGGATCACGGAAACTCGGTTGCTCTTGGTATGCTCGGCAGCTGAGCGTCAAGAGCTTCGAGTAACTCCACGTTGGTGTTTATGTGGTGCGGCGGCCGAGGTTGCAATCGCAGGGAACTGGTAGTCGACAATAGGGTTTTAAGCTTGAACAAGTTCTCGGTCAGTCTGAGAATATGACATCGAGGCTGCGCACATCATGACGAGTATAGGAAGGGAGAGCCGAGCTGGCGAGTCTGGTGGGCATCTCTTTCTTCCAAATTGAGCCCATGTTGCCACCCCCAGATATGCAAGATCAATGAACTGCACTGGTGGGCTGAATACGGCAGAATTGGCTAAGATGCGCCTGGAAATGAACGGGGAAGAAGACGAAGTAGCTTGACATCAGAAACACGGGAAACGTATGGATAGTCACACGCTAGGGCGATGTCAGGTTTGTGATTGGAACTTGAGAACGGAGGAAGAAAAGTCAAACAGAGAAAGATTTGCCGAAAAAAGAAAAACGACAAAAAAAGGTCATCCGAAACTCCCATTTGCCAGCAGGTCGGAGATGGATGGAAACCACTGCACCGCCATCACTCGGTCCACTTTCCAAGATCGGAAAGAATGCCCCGGGCCGGCATCACACTTGGTGAGGACTCGGCGAATGCTCTTTCCTCAAGGACTAGTAATTGACAAATCTGTGCTTCCCTCCTATTTGGACATTGTCTAATGTCCAGTATCGGCCTCCTATAGCCGTCCTATGAAAACCTCAATTCATAGTCATCCCTTTCACTTTCCACCTTCCCATCTCATCATTGCGCAACTCTTCCTCATGGCCAAAGAGAAATCACCACGCTACGAAACCTGAGAAACCCCAGATTTGACACGCATGCAAATTTCGTTTCCATTGGGCAACCAACAATCTGTGCTATCTCAGCCAACTCACGATGTTGATGCTGATTCTCTGCATCTTGCGCAAGACCACTAGACTAGGTTTCCAGTGACGACGGAGGCTATCACTGGAGAGATACAAACCCGAACACTAATCTACGCAGTCAGGGTCATGGCAACTTCTTGTTGCCAGAAACATGGCCGCAAACCTATGCGCAAGGTCGCTCCTGGTTAGCCATCCTGTCCTTCTGTCGGTCGCACCCAGACGATATACCAGGTAAAGCCCGTGAAACAGCCAAGGAGAATATCGGGCACAACAGACACAGCACTCTAGCAAAAAGGAGGACCCAACATGCTCAGCAGAATCCAGGCAAGTTGATACAAAAACTCGAAATCGGGGCTTGCTCAGTTGCTCGGGGCCGCATTTGTGGCTAAAGGTGCAGCAACTGTCAAGCTGACAGACAGCTAGGACGCTTGTCAAGCTCAGCCGTCGTGGTTGTTATTGCAAGATCACTCGGACAATCTTGTGTTGTCGTACAAGGTTGACACACTCCTCATACTATTCCGTATGGTATGTTGTGCAACTAACACAGCAGACCTAACAACAAAAAACAAGCAAATGCAAACGCTTCTTGTGCGTCCAGCACTGGCCGAAATACAGACTGTTCTTCCTATCGCGAGACACAGATTCAGAACACCGAAAGCAACACCTAAATCGCATACTACCTTACGACATCTCTTGATCTCTTCCGCCTCTCAGTCCCCTCTATAGATATGTTACCACCTAGTTCGAGTCGGGTGTCGCACTAACCAAACAGCCTTTCGCAAAGGTCACAGTTAGATTCGTGCGAAGCAGCAGCGGGCCATTGTCATCCCGGGGTTCGATGCTCTTGAAGGCACGGAAGAACTTGAAGAGGGCGTATTCGATCTGGGTAAGCGCAAACTGCTGGCCCAGGCATATACGCGGGCCTCCGGAGAACGGAATGTACTCCCATCTGTACAGCGAAGAAGAAGCTGTGTCAGCCACATCAAGTACCGGATAGAGAGACTGACAGAGGGAAAAACAAAGGCACGTACCCGACCCGAAGGTTTTCATCCCACCGCTCTGGACGGAACTCATGGGCATCTTCTCCCCAGATATCCTTACGTCTATGAAGACTGTACAGCGACCACCTAACGACTTGGCCCTTTGGCACAAGGATGGGTTGTTTGCCATCTGGGCCACCACCTCGGGGTAGGACCGTGTCCTTGATTGGCGCTCTGGAGTTAGTTGATGCGGGAGGGAACAGCCGCAAACCTTCAAGTGGTTGTTAGCAATTAGGCGATCTCTCCATAAGTTCTATCTCCCGGGCACAATACTCACCTTCCTTGATTACCATGTTCAGATACTTCATATTTTTGAGCTGCTCCCAGGTCGGCATCTCGTCCTCCACATCAAAGATCTCCTTCCTCAATTTCTTTACTACCTCCGGATTGCGAGCCAAGTAGTAGAAACACGCCGTCATCGCCGCAGCCGTGGTGTCTCTTCCGGCAATAATAACGGACAAGACTTGGTCGATGGCGTGCTCCTCATCGGCGCCGGACTTCAAAATCTCATGCAGGAAAACGTAGTCTCTTTCCTTCTTGTCGGTCTTCTCCGCCTGGGACTTCCTTATATAGGCTCGCACATACTCGCGCACTCTTGTCACAGCCGCCTGGAACTCCCCGTTTGGCAACAAATTGAGAAGCGTTCCAAGTCTAGACTTCTTGGCGGCCTCACGGCTGGTGTACTCAAAATCTTCGAGGAACTGCTTAGCTTCGGGCGAGGGTTCGAGCAGAGAGTTTGTGGAATAGCCGAGCAAGAAATCGGTAGACGAGTCCATGGTCATAGAAAGCAGGAGTTCCTGCATGTCAAAGGTCGATCCGTCCTTGGGAATGGCGTTGAGAAAGTTGCCGACGTGTTTGGCAAAGCAGTGAAGGTCGGCGACTTGGTCCCTGACGAACGAAGGTCTGATCATCCCTCGAGCCTCGCGCCTACAGTGCAATAACGATTCATTAGCTTCCTTTCACAACACAACCAAAATCCACTCCATTGTTATCATGACCGAAACCGACCAAAGAACATGGAGACGACATACCACTGAGCCCCGTTAGTAGTAAAAACACTCTTCCTTCCCAAAACCGGCACAGACGCATGCAACCGTGTTCCATCAATCGGCCACTCGGCCATCTTCGTGCCCAAAATCACTTTCACGTTCTCCGGCTCGTTCGTCATCAGTACCCATTTTCCCAGCGTCAGCGTGTAGTGCGTGTTGCCATATCTCTTGAATCGAGCGTCCCACAGCGGCAGCAGCGCATGTGTGTTCATGGCTCGCAAAGTTTCGCGGAACAGGTCCAGTCCCAGGATAGGGTCCTTGTGTGGGTAGACCGCCACGGGGCTGCAGCCTAGGGAGCGGACGCGGAGGCGGTGGAGAGCGGTGCGGAAGAGGAGGGTGAGGAGGTAAAGGAGAGGGCTTAAGAGGAGGAGGGTCGTGGGGGTTAGCATCTTGGCGGTTGCTTTCTTGTTGTCGTCGTAGTGGTATTTGGTAAATTGCTCCGTGGCTGGATGTCGTTTTGGTAAACGGGGAGTTGAAGTGATGAGCCCAAGTTGCTAGAATGACAACCGCACAGACAGAGTCTGCCCCTCTTGTCCAACAAAAGGCGCTGTCAATTTCAGGTTGAACTTGTCTTCGACGAGCTTTTGATATGGGCAAGCATAAAAGGCACCTAGGCTTCCAACGACTTTCAACCGAGGTCTCCAATATGGTAGCCACTCGTCTTCTCACTCTCTGTTTTGAGATGCTTGCTCTCAATGGCTTGCTGAATGTTCACTGACACCTCCCCTGCGTACTCAATCCCAACCACTTTTCTTCTCCTTCCCCCGCTCTTGTCGTCTCTGGGTGTTTGTGTCGCGGGTCACGGTGTAGAAGTGGTACAACCTCAACACATTGACATGTTACTGGCGCGGGGCTCGGTCTTTCGCGAGTGAGTGACGCTCACGGGGACGAGAAAGACTTTTGTCTCGTCGGGAATCGGAACTGCGGAGTTGAGTTAATATATGTCGGTCGACAGGTATCGCCGCCGGATAAGTATGTAACATGTGCACCAGCACAAACGCACAACTGGAATGATGAATGATATCGGTGCGATGTATGTACATAACTGCCCTAGCAGGCGGGGACCTTTTAAGTTTTTATGGGCTTTTCTCTCTTGGTTACCGTCGCCATTGCTCGGCTGTTGCTCACTACCTACCATAATCGTCTAATCTCCTTCCTGAAAGATGATGTTCTTCCCCCGCAATCGACTCACCGTTCCGGTCGCTTCAATTCCCATTCTCGACGGTGAATCCATGCTAGTTCAGTTTGGTACAAGATCATCGTCACAACCCCGCGCGGGCTTTCGACCAGACCCGGACCCCGACCTCCGACTTCCGACTTCCGACCCGGTCGCATTCATTGTAACCTGAACGTCGGGAAAACCCACCTTCCCTTCTTGTTTTTTCCCCCTTCCTTTTTTGTTCTACTCATTCATGTGTGCTCGCATTCACATTGCAACGTAGCAGTATGTAGTATCTTGCCATATCATTTACGGTGTCATTTACGGTTTCATTTTTGGTGTCACTATCTGTGCCCATGTCGAGCGGAGTCATGGCAAAATGGTTGACGAAACGTGGCTCAAATCGATGACGATCGCGCCTCGGGGGTGGGTTAAGAAGTCTTCTTATTTCCGATCCGATCAACCATGTTGCGTGCTACTAGGACGGTAGTATCCTGATGGGGAATTGGCGGCAGATCGGCTAAAAGGCATACGCATGATGCATCACGAACTGCGAAGAGTAAATCCGGGTTTGGCGAGCGATGGAAAGTAAACAAACTTCCGGAATAGGAAAGGCTTGGCAAGGGGAAGATATAACATGGCTGTAGTAATGTATGTGGCCGGGTTAACCAAAGAATACCTACCTACCTTCTGCGACAGAATGAAAGCAGAATGAAGATGCAAGGAATAGAATAACCAATGCAGAGCAACATAGTAGGTACAATACAATAAAAAGGAAACAATGTACCTGCTGGTCATTCCTCCTATCCATAAGACACTCCAAACTAAACCCAAAATTAACGGAGATACCGGACCTTAGCAATACCATAACATACCAAATGAGTCTCAAACACCAAAACGTAACCAAAACATCCCCAAAATCTCCCATGCATCCCCGAGAAAGCGCAAACACTCTCCTGCTAACTCCTCGATTAACTACCCCAATAAACACTCTCACTACTATCCCACGCAAACTGATTCCCACCGTCCCTATTATTCCTCGCCTCTCTCCTCTCCTTATCCGCCAACCTCCAGTTCTTGATCCTGTCACCGATAGCGGCGTTTCCATTAATGGTTCCATTCCCGGCAGTCAGCCCCTCTCCCCGCTCTTCACGGCGATGGTCATGGCTACTCCGAGCTCTGAACTCAGCCGGTACGCCGATGCCAGTTGTTTCCTCTGACCTGCTGTGATCAAGTTGACGCTTGGGATTCGGGGTAGACCCAGTCGCACTATCAGGTACCAAGCCCGACACACGTCCAGGGAGCGCAGACATCCCCGAGAGTTGCGACACGTGCCGTGCGGGATCGATGCCGTTGGTGTTGTCTAGGTCCCAGTAGTAAGACGGCTGGGTGCTGGGATGGTTGTGGCGACTACGCCAGGCGCTGTAAGGGGTTTTATCAATGTGACTATGGAAGCAGTGGTTGTGGTAATCGTGGTGGTGAAGAGGGGTATGCGGAACTTGCACATGCATGTGGCTGCTGTTCTCATGCAGCAGCTGCTGTTGATGCTGATGTTGCTGTGTTTGCAGTTTTTGGAGCACGCTGTGGCGGTGGTTCAGATGGTTGAGGCGGTTGGAGATAATGCTCTTGTTGGCCGGAGGCATTCTTTTATCTCCAATGCCACTTCCGCTGCTTTCACTTCTGCTTCCGGCGCAGAGAGTAGACGAATGACGAGCTGAAGATTGGGACGGTGGTGGGGGCGGGGGAACCCCGTGCCAGCTATGTCTGTTGTCGGCGTAATCCTTGTGAATTTCGATCACCGTGTCCTTCTCCTTGATATCGGCAATATGTCCACAAACACCATCGTAGCAATCGCCTTGGAAAGCACAGGTGTCATCGATGTCGAAGCGCGGTCGGTTGCGATCATAATGACCCTCAATTTCGATTCCATACCCGCCGCGGACGGTCTCTATATGCCCAGGCCGCCAGTTTTTGCCACAGGCGTAGAAAACGTCCGGATGGAGAGTTGAAAGCCTTTGCCATGTCGTCAAATCACTCTTTTCGTCCAGAACTAGCATGACGCATCCACAGACCAGCCCCAAGATGATAACGGCGGTGATGATCCATGCACCGACTCGGTCGGCAGTGCTAAGCGGCGAATAAGGAACCGCAATGCTAAACGGATCCGTCTTACCAACATCCCCGCCGCCGGCTCCTGGGTCTCCCGCGCTCGTGCCGCCCGTATGGTTAGTAACGGGAGCGGCGACCTGCTCGATCATGTTGGCCAGGACAAGCTCCATCGCAGCCATCTGCTGGCCAACCCCCGTTGTGCCGTCCCATTTGCCGTGTTCCGTCCACTTGAGTCCGCACATACGACCGTTGCCGCCGCCGATGCACGTGGATGTGGCAGCTATAGCTGTGGATTTTAGAAGAGGCTTGATGCGATGATACGTCCATGGCGCCCACTTTGTCGTGGCGGCCATGGCGCGCGAAAGGTATGCCTTGAAGCTCTGCTGGTCAAGATCGCACAGGTTGACAGGCTCACAGGCGACTTCTGTCATGATATTACGTTGCGGGCCTGTAAAGAAGACACCAAGACCGTTGATTAGGCCATCGACTCGGCTTCGCCAGACTTCTCTTGTGTTTCCCGTGGTATAGTTGTACATGGCTGCGGCGCCTAGGAGGAAGGCACCGCTGTTATACGTCCATTGGTAAGGAGTGATCTCGGAGCAGTTTCTTGTATGTGCCCCATCGTAAATGTAGTAAGTCTGCGTATCCATGAACTTGGACGAAACCATCCAATCCCACGTCTTATCGGCCCAGTCCGCATATGACTGATTGCCCGTGTACCGAGCGAGGCGGGCGGCAATGTTGAAGAAACATGCTTGGGAAATGGAGTTCTTGTAGTCGTAGCCCTGGTTCCAGGTGAAGATCTGCCAGCGGAGTCCCCCGCCACATTTCTGGGTGTCCCACCGGGCAGCTTGCGTGTTGAAGACGGCCTGTGCCAGAGCCAGCCATTGCGGCTTGTCGCTCGGTGGATCCTGGAATTTGGACTCGGCTGCTGACATGACCGTCATTCCCCAAAACCCTTGATCATCGTTACCTTCTGTCATGGTTTGGTTGGGCGGCATGTAGTCACTGTTTGGGCCGGCCTGGAAAAGCAGTCCCTGCTGAATGAGGTCATTCCATTGCGTGTCGCCGGTATAGTACCAGTAGTCAATGAGCGAACCCATCAAAGCGCCCGCTTCCCACCCTATAGATAGTGATATTAGGTTAGAAGATGGCTTAACAGGGTCAGCTTGTTGCACACTTCACTGACAGTAATATGGCTGAGGCAATAGGCCTGGAATTCCTCCTGGTTGGTTTCCAGAGTAGAATGACATCATGTCCTGGGCCATGAACCTGGCGGCATGCTTGAGCGAGTCTTGAGAAAATGTTAGTAGCATGCACGGTAGGTGGGAAGGCAGCAAAGGCAGAAGGAGATGACCTATTGAGCTCAAATCCAGATCGTAACCTGCAATCACATCGGCTGTCATCAACAGGGCGGCTATCAACCTGGCGCACAGGAGACTGGCCTCGGTCCCATGGGCTCTCATGGTGAGACAGCTACATCCAATTCCGGATTTAATGGTGAAGAACAAGATTCAAGGTCAAAAGACTCCAATAACTTCCAAAAAGAAAAAGAAGAAAGAAAAGAACCGAAGGCTTGGAATGAGCTTTGCGGTTGCAAGACGTGGAGAATCGGGAGATGTGAAGAGACTGGACAACCAAGAAGATCGAGGTGTGTCTGGATGGGCTTGTGATAAACCGCAGCCGGCTGGGAACTCCAGCATAGTTCTTCCCCACTCATCAAATCATCCTTGATTCATTCCCGAAGGCAGAGTCCAACTGTTCGTTCAGGGGCATGGCTTCTCTTCTGAGGGTCAGAATCGTATCCTTGCAAAATCAGGCAAGCGCAACTGTTCCAAGCAAGCTTCAACGGTGAATGTCTGGCAACAGAGAAAGGACTTCCACCAGACAGAACCTCAAGAGCATGGTGCCGGACATTCTAGTGAGAGTATGCCGGCCACTTGGCCAGGTAAGCAAGGACCGGATAGCAACTGGCCAGAAGGCATTTCAGTAGTGAATGGGGACCTTGAACTCTCTTCGTTGCCTTGTATGAGAACGGCGCACAGCAAGATTGTCCAAGGATAACTGACGTCTATATTCGTTAATATTTTGTACAGCTTGTCTGTGCTCTTTTGACGTCTTGAACTTGGGTACTCCATGTTGAAACCCGAGAAGTGAAGTGTGCCGTCACGCAGACGGGAAGAAGCGCGGTGGATAAGGAAGGATTTGACAGAGAGCATTTGTAAAAGCAGGAATCTAGTGCAAGTCAAATGTTGCATGCATGGAAAATTAACAATGCACATATTAGCATGAACGGATGTAGATACTGAGTATATATAAATATATATGTATAGTCGGACATCCACATTTATGCAGCAAGTTTAGGATAAACTTGCAGTGTCCAAGGTCTCATGTTAAGACCTTGCGGGGCAAACGCTCGGAACGCTAACAGATCCGGACTGGAACACCAGACGACCAAGGTTTGGTCATTGACGGGCCGCATATCATATTCACTCGAGGCGGAAGTCCGAAAAAAAGGCAAGCTACTGATACCAGAAAGACAGTATGCCCTTAAACTATAAGTTTCACCAGAGCTTTCCTATTGCTCTTTCCTCCTTTCCTATTAATCCAAGCAACTCAGAGTCGGAAAATGCCCAACTTGGTCTAAACTTTCGACACCACCACGCATCCATCATCTTAATTAAGCTGACCCTTTTCAACATCTAGTCATCATTCTCTATTCCAGACAGACAAGATGGGTATTGCCGACATCCTCGACGAGATTGCCAATGCGTCGAGGTCTCGTCCTCATGTCGACAAGGTTATAGAGCCTCCTCCTCAAGCCCCAGAAAGCAGACCCTGTCTTTCACGTGCTTCCCTACCTGGTTCAGCCCGTACCACCTACCAAATAGCAAAGGGAACGACGAAAAGTCGTCTCGAAGGTCGTGGTACTCCAGGGGCAGGGGGTTCTCAGACTGCTTCTAGCTCCAGGGGCAACTCCAACAAACAAGCCCCGGCCGTTGCTTCTTCAAGGTACAACAGCCCCAGCGGATGTCCCACACAGCCCAGGGCGGGCAGCGGCCCCACTCGCACCCCACGCACCACCAGTGCCCGTGCGGATCCTCTCGCCAAGCCGAACCGAAACCCGGGGTAAGTTCGTTCAATTGTCACTTGCTGCCCTGCGCCGCTGAACCCTACCTCTATGCACTTTCCATTACAGCAGGCTTCGCAGCCGCCGTGATAGGCTGTGATCACCTCAAGCTGTGAGACGACCTAGACAGGGCAGGGGGAGGGCACTGTCCGATGATCGCCGCTTGGGCAGGGCAGTCTCCAGTCCCACATAGGTCTCTCGCAAGTGCCCGGCCCGGAACCTCCACCTGGAACTACCCATGAATCCATCAATTCCACTCCCGCGGGCTCCTGCGCCAGCCTTCCGTCACCCTCCTTTCATCATCATCCGACTCCATCATCCATTCCACTTCACCATTCCCTTGTTGTTCTTGGCCTCCACCTTGCATCGTACCATTTACGTCTCGCCTTCTTCTTCGCCGACTTTTTGCTTGCCTCGTTGCTTGTTTCTTGTATCTCCTAACCTTCGCGCTTTCCAGCCTAACTGACCGACCCGCGACCAGTCCTTCCGACCGCCGTTCGTCTGCTACTTCTCAACCGCCTGTCCGCAAGCAGCAGACCACGAAGCCTGCGAAGCCCAGGGAACCCACAGACAGTACTGCCACCAAAAAGCCTACAACTGCATCGTCCTCTCGTGCCGCTGCTCCATCCATCAAGGCCGAATCTAAACAGCCGCTCCAACCCGTCGACGGACCCGTCACACCTCCGGACGACCCCGACACAACAGATTGCGAGTCTCTGTTCGGCGATTCTGTGCTTGAAAGCATTAAGGAGCGCCCAAAGCCCGCTCGTTTCCGTCGGGGCAAAGGCTCGCAGCTGAAGAAGATCATCGGCCAGACAAAACGCGAAGCCACGTTTCGGAGACAAGCACAGGCACAGCTTCAAGCTGAAGCCGCCAAACGAGCCGCGGAAAAGGCCAAAGAAGCAGAGATTGAGGCTGAGAGACGGGCAAAATCCGCCAGAAGTGCCGGAGCCGCGAGAGAAGCTACGTAGCTCGCCGCGAGATCTTTGCTCAGCCCCTCGCTCACCCCCTTGCTCGCCCCTACGGTCATCCCGGCCGGTGCCAAACAAACGCTCATCGGAGAGGTGAAGCTCAACAACGACAGCCCATTGTCGACACTCTTGGCCACCTCAGGCGCCGATATGGACCCACCAAAGCATGGCAACTACCCCATCATTCTTAGTGATGCTTTACTAGGCAAGGCGTCCAAAGAAACAGTCAGTGGCATTCGCTGTAAGTTTTTATTTCCTTGCTTGCCAGCTACTGTCAGTTCATCACTGACCCTGGAATATACAGACAATCACAAACCGGCGCTCTCGTCTGACATTGCCCCGAGCCAATCAAGGCTCAAGCGGTCCGCGAAGGATGGTTCGTACAACCTCGGCTTCGATGATAACGGAGACAAGTATCAATACAAGGGCGTCCGCACTGCAGCAGACGGCCAATACGTGCTCGTCTTCGACCCAGACCGCAATGCTTTCGTCCTTCACCAGGTCGATTCAATGTTCAACATGAACATCGCCAAAACACCGACCGACACCAATGCCGCCAGGCAGTTCCCTCCTTTGGATGTCAAGGGTACTGTTCTCGACAAACCGGCCCCGAAGCAAAAGGCATCAACCGCCGCATCCAAGAATAAGGAAGCGCCTGCCAAGAACGCCCCTGCTGGCAGGGGAAGAGGAGGAAAGTCAGCCCAGAACAAGCAGAATCCCGCAACATTACCTCCCTCCAAGCCTGCCTCGCCGCCGCGTGCAGGTGCAGAGGGACACGCGACCAAGCACCGCAAGCCAACATCCGCTGATTCCGAAGACGAGGATGAGGATGACGATGATGGTGGCTTGACAATAGAATACCCCGATGGTCCTCCACCAGAACGGTTCAAGCCAGCAGTCAACAAGTATGCTTCTCCTGCTCTCGCCCTGACCCGGCGCTTTTCCGAGTTTGCGGCCGCTTATAACCCGGACGAGGAAGAGGACGTCAATATGGACGCCGAGTTCGAGTCTCGGTTCAATGAAGACGCCGATGGAGAAGGTGGTGGATACGAGGATGATGATGAGGAAGAGGAGGAAGACGAGGACATGGTGGATGCTTTGGCCTTACCCAGCCCGATCAACAAACCAGCGGCATTAGCAAGGACCAATAGCTACCACGAGAACCCATTGCCTCCTCCTGACCGCTTCAGTTTCGACGATGGCTCCGATATGGAGGCAGAGTTCGAGAACGTTCAAGAATCAGCGCCGGTCAATAACCAGGCTAACGCCGCTGATGGTATTGATGATGCCGAAATTGCTGCTATGGAGGCGGAACTTGCGAAGGACATGGAGAGTGACGTTAGCGAGGAGGAGTAATCCCGTTCCCGCACCTCGGCATTTTTAATCATGGGGTATAATTGGTTCAGCATCTTGAACCTCGTCGGATAAATGCATTTAGTTATGGCTATGGAGTTGTCAGCATTCTGCAAGGGCTGGGCCTTTGGGGAATTAAGAAAGTTGGCGTTAGGTTCACAACGGAGCAGTTGGTAATGAGCAGCGAAAAGTTGAACAGAGGAGGTAAAGTTAGCGATAAAGTAGTTATAATCGGCTTTCAGCCGCTACCAGGTAGGTAGATCTACTTATGGATGGCGATCGGTGGAGCATAGAAACGGGCTGTAGCCCGGGTGGGATATCCTTTGATGATATCTCTTGATGATACTCTTTGATGAGTGATTAAATACAATCTATTCTTACATTTCGTTGTGCTCGACTTGTGCATATCTACCTGTCTATACCACTTGATGTACATACGGTCTCTAACACTTGAAGAATGGTTCACTCTCTGATTTGCAACCGGAGGTTCTATATGATGAAATGTTCATACGGCAAAGTCCAATAACCCAATCTGCTGCACTCTATTTCTGGGAGATCGTGAATGTGATGACATATCACCAACTCCCAACCCAACGCGTATTGTCGGTCATATCTACTCCAGCACCATGTTGAGTGGTGCCTCGTGGTCGCAAAGGCAAATAGAGCAGGTTCAGTACACTTAAGGCCCTTCCGAATGCTTTCAAACTGCCTGGTAGGGACACAGATCTTAGATCCTCAAGTGCTCTCGACTACCAGGTCGAGGCTCTTGCCACCCAACTCCTTCAAGATCAGAGGCACCAGTTTTGTACTGGCTCGGTAAGGACAACCCAGCAGCAACAGTAGCAAGCTCTGACGAATCCATGATGCCCTATAGTTAATAAACATGGTAGTGAAACCTTCAAGCAATATTTCCCCAAACGTGATCCCTCACACTTGGCTCTCAACCTCATTATTCCCAAGTATACTTCTAGATAGAACCAACCGCATATTATCGGGAGGCTGAGGCTGGCTGATCAACCATCCCGTGTGTGTGTCGTGCGTGGCCTGGCATAATCACTTCCAAAACCCCGTATCAAGAGCCTCGTCGAGAGGTACAGCTTCCAGGTTCGCATCTTTGGAGATCAAGACTTTAGTCGTCGTCGAAAAGCTCCATTGGCTCCTTCCTGGTCCCCTTTTGGTTTTCCTTCTTTACTACGGGACTCGAAGAACTCGAGCCGTTGGACGATTCCGCTGATGAAGTTGTAGTGGCACTCGTGGAGCTTGTCGAGCTGGGTGAGCTAAAGGGTTCTGTTCTGGGTGGTGGGGCTGTGAAGAACAGCTTTCTCCGGACTGTTTCTCCTTGCATGTTGTGAGTTTGTTGTTGGGAGGAACTGGCCTTTGAACCTGTCCTTGTACAAGTACTTGGGCCTCCTCGAATTGGGTTTGGGCCGGGGCCTAGTAGATGTGAAGGTGGTGCCGGATGTCGTCGTACTGGTGACACTCGCGGCGAGTCTACCTCTACTGAGGACTCACGTATGGTTGCGGTGTCGGATCTGCCATCGTCTCGATCTTGGTCCAAATCTAGGTTGGAAATGTCCTCATCCAGATCGATGACCGTCTTTTGCTTTGCTTGAGCTGCTGCCGGTTGTTGACAGGGGGATGTGTTTCCTACCAACCGCGCCCTTTTGCTTCGGCTGGAATTGCTGTTATTGTTATCAATCAATTCGACGACAGCGAATTGGCGGCGTCGTTTCCGGCTGCTCAAAAAGGTAACCTCCCCATCGTCCTCCTCATTGCGCCCGACATTTCCAAGTTTCCTCGGGGTCTGAAAGGGTGCCTCTTCGGTGCGTGCCTGTGCCTGACGGATTATATTGTCCCGTTTATCTAGGCATACGACAAGATGCTTATATAGCAACTTCACGAAGATTGGCGGGAATGCATTTCCGATCTGTTTCTTGATGTAGCTTCCGGCGAATTTGTGATGCATCGGAAAGCCTTGCAAGAGGGCATACTCCTGGGGGGTGAACTGACGCAAGCCAGACCAGTGGTAATTCTCGGCAGCACCACATGTGACCGTATAGGGAAGTGGCTTGTCGCCGTCCCAAGGCGCTTTGCGCGTCGGGAAAGGTTGTAGATAGGGTTGATGCAGAGGGTATCTCCTTCTCTCATCAATGGCTGCTAAAGCCTGCCGGGCTGTGGTTGCGGGCTTAAGACCGTTGCCATGAGTTGGCGAGGGAAATGGGGGCAGCTTCTCCCCTGGACCAGCACCAATCATTATCAACCTCCTCCGAGGCTGAGGTAGGCCGTAGTGAGAGAAGTTCACCACCTTCCATCGGACAGAGTAGCCATGGTCAGTGAATCCATGGACGAGGCTCTGAAAGAAATTATCGAATCGAGGGTGCAAAATGCCGAACGTCTGTTCGACGGTAAAGAGGCGAGGCCGGATCTTTTCGATCAAATGGGTGCAAGAGAAGAGGATTGCGAGATTCTTCTCATCATTCTGGCCGGGTCGTGTATGGGCCGGAGACCATACTTGACAGGGAGGTGACAGGTGTAAAATATCGACGCGATGTCGAATTTCTTTGTCGACAATAAAATTATGCATGTCGATGTCGTAAATGGTGGTATCTTGACCCTGGAAATTGGCATTTAACGACGCCACCGCGTGCTCCCAATTGTCGACGCAAAACTCTAAATGGACTCCAGCATCCGTTATTCCTCGTGAAGCACCACCGGCTCCGGCAAATGTATCACCGGCCGTATACTTCTGATCGGAAGGCACTTGTTTTGGGCCACGTGATGGAAGCGTGGATGTAAGATCGTCAACATTGTGAACATGTCCATGTCCATGTTCCTGTCCCGCGGGTAGGAACGACCCTCCTGGAACCTTACTGCCGCGCCAGCCATTCACCAGTACGTCGTCGGATAGTCGAAATCCCTCGTCCGCTTCCTTTTCTTCCACTCTAAGAAATGACCATTCGCGAGGTTTCTCGGTCTGGTGGTACTCGACATAGCTGTAGCGGGATACCAAAATGCCCATGTCCTTCACCTGTTGTCTCTTGATTGCCATATCTGCAGATCCGTCTCGGTACCGGGGAAATGGGGCGTTCGTTACACGGAGTTCTCTGGTCGTCAGTACGTTCTCGGGGTTGATGTCGAGAATGGCCTGTTCCCTCCAGGGCCGAGGGTCGCGAGTATCAACTGATGCTACTAAACAGCATTCGTTGAGTTGCTTTGGCAACATCCCATTCATCTCCTTGGCTCTCGTGAACCCGTGGCCTCTTATCGAAACGTTGTTCACGTGAGCCTGCCGAAGTCTTACTATCGAATTAACCCGGACGAAGCTTATCGCAAATCTGCCGATGGGTGCCTTTAATTCGACGGTCATCCCTGGTCGTACGATGAAACCCTGGTCGCGCAAGGAAAAGGAAGGTAAAGTCTCCTCTTTGGGTCCTGATCGAAAGGCCCCGTCGGGCTCAGAGAGTTCGATATCGTTTTCAGTGATATCTATAACCTCAGCGACTTCCCCCTCGACCTCTTCTTCATCATGGATTTGAATGACATCGTCTTCGTCGTCTATAATAAAGGGGTTTTGCTCGGCCATTCTGCGGAGGGGGGGTAGATGTTGCTGAGCGGGAATGTAGGACGTGGAGTCACAGGTGGTATGTGACGATTCGTGAGTTGACTAGGAAGAGGGTTAGCTGGTCGGCAACTACAGATATGGAGAGTGGTGGCGGATGGCAAAAGCTATCCAGGCAATGCGGGGAACGTGTGAGTTGATGTTGAGAGTGAGAAAGATTTGACGGTAAAAGGGGAAGGAGGACGATAGATTTCGGGCAAACTTACTGAAGCAGAGAGGCGCCCAAACCACCTCGTCAAGGTTGAAATGTTGCTAGAATACGTAGTCCGCCTCGATATTACAATCCGACCCTCTAGACGGCGCAATAAATATCCGTCCTACCGTACAATCGCAGTATGATAGAAAAGGTGCAGGGTGAGCAAGGACTGAATGTCATCAAGATGTTGGAACGAGAAGGGATTTCACACAAGAAACAGGCTCACGCAAGAAGAGTGAGTGACAGTGACACCTGCTTTGTCTGAAATCTAGAAAGAGTCGAGGACAGCCCAGATTTATAGACGCCGAGATGGATGGAGCAACACGCAAAGAATCTGAGATACAAACGCAAGTCGCTCCATCAGGCAGAAAACCTTGACGAAGGGATGAATCAGAAGACGAGATTTATTTCCCGTCGCCACAGCAATCGTAATTTAACCCGATGGCCTCACGGCTGGGCTGTTTGCAAACAGAATATCGGATGGAAGGCGCTCATATTGAGAAGTGATGCGATCTATGTTGGCAGCGAATACCTAAAAGACTAAGCGTACCAAACAAAGTCAAAGGTTATGGGGGTGTGGGAGATATTTCACCCTTAAAGAATACAGAAAGTCAATGGATACCTCCGCGGCTACATTCTTAGAACGAGCCATCATGTTTCTCTCTGGGACTCAAAGGAGATCTTGGGTGAGTTGGAGGTGAATCATCGGCACTTTCGCTCAGGCCTTGAGGTCATTTTCGCCAGCTGTTGACCCATAGCTTGGTGACTGCGGATTCTCTCTGCACGCTTCTCAGCATGGCTCAGGATCATCGTAGCAATCGACCAAGGTGCACTTCGTTCTTTGAGACCGACAGCGACTGGTTTTTGATACGGGCTTGGAGTTGCGAGACTGCCAAGAAGGCGATGCCCTGATCCATGCCCACGCTGGCGAGGGTTAGGGGTAAATCAGGACCAAGCCAAATGTCGTAGGTAATTCCGCCTCGGAACATCCCGGTGCCGGCCCCACCGATCGCGCCCCCACTCTCACGTTCAATTTTCGCAAACCTGAACTTGCTTCTGTCGTTCATCTTCATTCCCATTTTCCCTCTCCTGGACTCAACTTTAAACTCTGATGTTTGGATATACAAACAACAATACATGTATGTATTGCGCTGCCAAAGACATGCAGCTGAGAACAGCCTTTTGAAGCCAAGGCATCCATACTGAAGGTGAGCTACCAATATCTTTTTTCATCATCACCTCCCTCCCTTTCCATGATGTTTTGACAATTATCAAAACCTTGACTGCCTAGCATTCTGCTGCGGAGAAAAATGTTATCTGAATCTTTGGATATCTCATACCTCGATGTATCACACCTCGCGTTGTTGAATTTCTGCTAACATCGTGCGGTGTTTCAGTCTGTAAAAGTAAAACGAGAGCAAGTACACTAGTACTCCTTAAGAACTGCTCATGATCATTGTAAAAATACCCAGCCAATGCCTTCTTTTTTTCCCATTACCAAGCCCTTGTCATAGTTAGCAGTCATTCAGTCATGAATAAACACCGGATTACACATGAACTCTTGATGTCACAGTGCCGATGAGACATTGTTCATGCACGCTCATCCGACAGCTTCCTTTTTGCCACTTGGAGAGAGTTGTCCGCTACTTTAACGTGCATCCCCCTGTTCACATCCTACGCCCATTGTTCGCTCCTCCTCAAGCGATCGCTCTAACTATAGTGTATACGCACACAATCATTTTTTTGGTTTCCTAGCCAGTAAGTGGAACACTACTCACAAAGCAACTTTGCGTCGATTGCTGCGATGAGAATCCAAACCCGTTCAGCCGCCAAGAGGCTCAAAGTAAACACCGAGGAACACATCGTGGTTGCGAACCCCCTCCAGAATCCGATCATTGTTCCAGATCATGTATCTGCGACTATCGTAGCTTCGGTTGAGGCTGAATCTTGGACGAGAGGAAAACGGAAGCGGGGACATGCCACGCCGGCGCATCCTCTCAAAGGTTCGCTTACTTCTTTGCTCTCGATTTCAGCCTGCTAATTAGTTGACTACATAGGTAGTCGGAATGTCTTGCCTCCTGACATGGGCGTTTTGCCAACCCCTGGAACAACTCCAGAGACAGCAGATTCGCTGAGCAGTTCTTCCAATACGCCGGTGTATTTAACGCGAAGTATGGCCAAACGCCAGAGTCAAACTTCGCTCGAAACTACAAAGACTCGGACCGAGGATGTGAAGGCGCAGAAGACGCCGATCGGTACAGGGCCCCTACAAGTGACTACACCTGTTGATATGTCGGGACATCATACCCGGAGTGTGACTGAACGCCGGACCAAGGTTCAGACCGCCATCATCAAGGATTGGACGGAAAATGCAGCTGCGACAGAAGCTGTAGAGAACACCATGGACACTTCTCTGGATAACACTGTTGAGGTGAACACCCCCAACGACGACGACAAAGACGAGGAACACACTGAACGGGATCGACGGGTTACCAGGTCGTCTTCCAAGAGACCAAATACAGAAACCGACAAAAACCTCGATAGCGGCAATGGACAGATTATTGTCAAGACCAGCAAGAAGGCAGCCAAGGTCACCGCCACAAAAATAGCCACCGTGGACCGCGACAGCCCTGACTACAGAATGCCAGTGAGAAGGGGCCGAAATAATCCCATGGGGCTCACGCCAGGGTTCTCGCCCTATCCCAATCGTCAGGCCCCTACCTCTGAAGCATGCGAGGATGTGTATCGCATCTTGGCAGCCATGCATGGGAAGGTAGAGCAACCCAAGGAAATGCCCAAAGCATCTTTGGAGAAGGCCGGATGTGGCGAGGTACCTTGCGTTTTGGACGCCCTCCTCCGGACGCTGATTAGCGGCAACACACTGATGGCCATGGCGGACCGAGCGATCAGGAACGTAGCTCAAGAGTACGGTTTACGAGAACACGGCTCAGGCGTGGGGAGCATCAACTGGGAAAAGGTTGCCAGCGAGCCAGAGGAAAAGCTGGCGCAGGCTATCAAGGTTTCGGGGAACGGAAACCAGAAAGCCAAGCATATCAAGCTGATCCTCGACATGGTTGCGTTGGAGATGGCGCAGCTGGCAATGGAGAACAATGGAACGGGCGGCAAGCGAGAAGTCGCCTTCCCAGAGACGTTGAACCTAGACCACATGCACACCGTCACCAAAGACGAGGCCATGGCCAAGCTTGTCCAGTATCCCGGGATTGGCATCAAGAGTGCCGCCTGTGTTACACTCTTTTGTCTTCGCATGCCCTGCTTTGCAGTTGACACGCATGTCCACCGGTTCTGTCGCTGGCTCGGCTGGGTGCCGGAGAAAGCAAATGCCGAGGACTGCTTCAGACACTGCGACGTGAAAGTGCCGGATCACCTCAAGTATGGCTTACACCAGCTTTTTATCCGTCATGGACAACAATGCTTCAAATGTCGAAAGGCGACAAGGCCTGGTACGAAGGAGTGGAGGGAGGCACCCGAATGCCCGTTGGAACACCTGCTGGACCGGGGGAAGGGAGGAGACCATCGAGATGGATAGACAGGGAACGCCGGAAAGAGTCGATTCGGAAGTAGTTGATTTCTTTCCGACAGCAATAATTTTCAGTCTGACTCTTTTGCATGCCATAACTTGGGACCCTCTTGGTACTGTTGTGACGGATGAAAGCTTCCTGGGCCTTTTGAGTCTAGATCCCCTCCCACAGTTTCATCTGATGTCCACGTCCCCAGTGATGCACTGATAGAAAGCATGTAATTAACAAAAGAACATACTTGTACCCATTCTGGTCATAAAATGTTGTCGTCATTGACAGCTCCAAGTAAGTACTCGATTGCGAATCACCTCAATGTTCGAGGATTCGGTGATTCATGGAAGAGACGGGGAGTTGGGCGAATCCGTACCATACCTAAGAGCCTTCCATCTGGCTACTGGCAACAGCTGCTGAGCAGCTGCCTGTTTCTGACCATCGCACCTGCCTGCCGCGCCCTTCTGCCCCCACACCCCTGCAACTTTTAGCGGCCCCACGCACTTTAGGTCTGACGCGGTTCCTTCTGGATTGACGCGCAACAACAGAACCACGGTTTCGTTACAGCGTTCCTCTTCCTTTCCCAGGCACTGGACGCTGCAGTGGCTCTGGCATGTCAGAGGAAGCTCCCGTCTGACAGCCGCACCGTCAACTCCAACATACAACAGGAGAACCTTCACCGGGCGATTGCTTGGTGAAAGAAGAACGGGGTCAGACTCCTTCACTGGCCTGGAACATAAAACCCCACGAGCGCGGATTTCTCTTCTGTCCTATTGGTATTCAATTTTCCTCCAACCCTTGGTCTGTGGGCGCAAAAGATACCCGCACATCCATCGCCATCTCGGCCTTTGCCCTCCGACGACAAAGCATCACTGCTCGTCCTCGGTTGCCTGGAGCATCTTGCTTCAACTATTCTTGTCATTCCTTTACCGCAGAAGTTGTTGCTCTAGCATATCTGTCACTCACCTCGACGAAAGCTTTTTGCCGATGCAAAAGCTTCTCTAAACCATTCCGTCTGTTTTGCGCTGAAGGTTGCTTCTTGGGACCATCGAAGCGCCGACCTACTTCGCCCTCCCAGCTCCGGCAGCTCCGTCAGCCTAGACAACCACCAGAAGCCATTACGTTCTCGAATCGACCGCCGAGATGTCAGACAAAATGGAGTACCCAGAGCTGGGGACCGCAGACGTCCAGATGGCTATGATGGAGATGCATCAAGCCTTTGAAGAGTTTCCTCCAGACGCACACCCAATTTGCCCTTTGCTCAGCGACGATGACGATACGGACTACGCGTTGCCAGACCTCCCCGATGCGAACGGGACAACGGTGGCAGAAAAGCAAAAGCGAATTGTTGACGGGTTCGAAAGACGTAGAATTACCTACGGCCTTTCGCTTCTGTTGGTGATGCCAGAGGCTGGCAAATGGATCAACGAGTGGAAAGAGCGTGTCAACTTCTTTCTCACAAAATGTGACCAATGTGCCAGGACATGGCATAGGACACGCCAGCAATTCATCAGAGCCATTGATCAGTGCGTATTCGCAAATACCTACTTGATCCACCCTAGGCCTGGTGACCCCAGCTAATCCGACTTAATACAGATACACTTCCCGAGACAACGCCGAGCTCTTGCGGAATCTACAGAAAAACCTCGAAGCCTTCGACGAAGAGCGCATCACGCGCGGCCTCAAGAGAGCCAAATTCATCCTCGAGAGGGACGGTCCCATGCCGACTACGAAGCTCGTTAGAATCGAACTTTGGCCGTGTCTCGCCTTGTTCGAATCGCTCTGCTGCATGGCATACTTGAACACCAACAAAGCAAATCTAGAGATATTCAATTACGTATTCGAACATGTCCAGCCTAAGAAGCCGCTGAAGATGGTGGGAGGCGCAATTCCGACCATGACATACTTCCTTTTCGAAGAGTATCCGGTGCACAGGGCGTTTGCAGAGGCACAATGGCAACGGATGCTGCCCGAGAGCCTCACCGATGAGGAGTGGGAATGGGCTGTCAGAAGCGGCCTCAAGTCCCATATACTCGGCCATAGGGGGATACAGCCCCCGGCGCGGCTGTGTCGCTTTTGGAGCGGATTCCTCCTCATTTTGCGAGCTATGAGCGAAAAGAGTATTTTGGAAAACCTCCGCGGCATGGAAGTACAACCGAATGTCTACTTCCTTGCTCTCGAAAACCTCGGCACCAATAACGTCCCTGCTTTGAGCATGATACTGAAAGCACTTCGGACACTGATGGAGCGTTCGTCAAAGGCTTTTTGGGATGCCTATGACCAAGTCACCCCCAGTATGATTGTGGAGGAAATTTTCAAGAGCCCGGCTTTTCGGCCCTTCTTAAACCAGTCTCTTGAGCCGGACATGATGGTCGAGGACCAGGATGACAATGGTCAACTAATACCAGCGTTGGCAGAATGGGTCAGGGCCTTTATCCGTTCCCTTCCGTTAGCGCGGCGGTCAGACGTTTGCGAAACTCTTCTTCGGCATCTTTTCGAAACTCTCCGGGTCGACCCAGGCGCAGCCCCAGAAGCGAAGGCCACTTGTATCCTTGCTGGTCTGGTGACCTTGAGAGAATGCTTGGACGGCTACCTCAGCCTTCCATCCTTTGATACAGGAACATCTCTTATCATGGTCAACCAGTTACTCAATAGAGTGATTCAGTATAAGGAAGTCATCATTGACGCGACCAGACTCAAGGCCGCGGACAAGTACAACGTTGGCCTCTCACAGGCTGCTATAACTATCATACAGTCTGCCCTGGCATTGGACGCGAAGGCGACGTTGATGGAGTGGGACGCTTTCGTTAAGGAGAAGCCTGTTCAAGATGCCGTAAACAGGGACTCTGGCGCATTGTGGGAGTCATTCCTGGAGCTCATCTGGAACGGACAAACAGATCTCGCCAAGGCCATGTTGAGAGCTACGATGCCTCTCAGGAGTATCGAACGGTTTATCCCCAAGCGGAAAGACCAGCTCAAGAACGAGCATGCAAAATTCAACAGACGCTTTCAACAGCAAACGGCGGCAATTGGCAAAATGTTAGGCCGTCTGTCTGACTTCAACCCGGCTGATCTTGACAGTTTCTGCTCGGATCCGCAGAGTAACACCATCCAGCCCATCGTGGCGACTCTAATACACGGTGAGGAAGCCATTCGCGAAGCTGGCTTCGAGTTGATCAAAGCCATCACAGGTGAGATGACGCCATCTGAGGCCGTGAACAAGATGCTTGAGGAGTACTTCAGCCAGTTCCTGGAGGCATTCACTGGTGCCGTAAACCATATCACCAACGCCAAAGACTCCAATAATCCGTGGAGTCACATGCAACACTTGTTGAAATGCTGTGAATTCGTGCTCAATAGCTTAAGTGATCCGTCCGTAGGTCAACTCAGACGCAAGACCCTGACCCCTGCGGAACATGCTATCGTTAAGGGATGGTGGGATTGCGAATGGAGAGCCGTCGGCCACTCGTTCGGATCCATGAGGCTCTGGCACGTGAAGGTGGACAAGAAGGTCATGGAGGACTTTTGTCGTGATGTGATGGAACTTGCAGAGAAGCTCCTCGCCCAAGACGGTCTCATGGCTTCGGCACTTAGCAGTCCTCAAAGCATCTCGGCGACAAACGGTGACGACGGCTCAGAGGGCATGAAGTTGGTCCTGGAGCCGCCGAGAATACATTCGCTTCCCTTGGTGGACATGTTGCAACTCCGCGATAAATATCTTATCGCCGGTATTATCGAAATCACCAAGAAGCTGATCAAGCGTCTGCAAGACAACGGTATGGATCTTCCGCCAAAAACAGTCGCCTATCTCAACAATATGCTGAAGAAGAGGAAGATGACTGATGGGCGGACGGACTACCCCATAAAGACGAATCTCACCAACGAGCAACGGATCGAGCTACTCAAGGCGCTCGGGGACGATGCTGCCATCGAAGCGCAGTTCGTTGGTGGAAAGCCTGTGAAGCAAGAGGTCAAGCCGGTCATGAAACAGGCAAAGCTCGATTTCTCAAAGGCATCACTCAAAGACCACATTGCTTCGCTTACGCCTGCCTTTGAGAAGGCCACTGAGAGGCGGAAGAATGCTCTGTTGGAGACGATGAAGGCTGAGGCTCCAGCCAAGGCTCCTCCCAAAATCGACTCAAAGGCTGCCGACAAGATCAAGGAGGCTAGGCGGCTTGAGCGAGAAGCCAAGGCTAAGCGAGATGCTGAGGCCATCGCGCGGGCAAAGGCTCTGCGTGCGCCACCAAAGCTGGTCCAGGGAGAAGGCTCAGGTCTGGCTGGTGTTGCTGGAGTTCGTGGCAAAGACCACGCCCCAGTGCTGAAGGACGAGATCATGGTTGGTTCATCATCGGAAGACGAAGATGAGTCTGACGATGACGAGTTGATCACACTCCATGCCGCTGGAAAGAAGAATATGACTGAGGCCGAGCGTCGCGCCCATCGGTTGTTGGCTGAGAAGATGCGCGGACCGGTGAAGAAGGTCAAGATCGAGCGGTCCGCCAAGGATATGCGCGCTCGCCTCATTCCCCCTATGGATGTGTTGCACCAGGCCATCTTGGAGTGGGACATCTTCCACGAAGGTAACGATCCGCCGAACGGGTACCGTTGTGATCACGTCTCGGATACCTACCAGGACCCGGTCAGCTACAAGCAAACCTTCTTTCCGTTGCTCATCAATGAAGCCTGGCGCTCATTTGTCACAGCCAAGGACGAAACCACGTCCAAGCCCTTTGGCATCAAGGTCCTTAGTCGCATGACAGTCGACAAGTTCATGGAAGTTACGGCGTCGGTTCCAGTTGCAATCAACAAAGACCGTCAATTGTCTGAAGGAGATATTGTCATCATTTCCAAGGGCCAAAACCCGCTTCAAGAACCTGAAGAACTACACTGTCTTTCGCGTATCTGGAAGACAACTTACAAAAAGGACAATGTGGAGGTCGTCTACCGCCTGAATGCCAAAGGTAACCAAATTCTACCTGCACTATTGCCTGGCTCCGAGTTTACCGTTGTCAAGATC